GTGATAACAAATAAAGTAAATCTTAACCCTTTTATTTACTGCCGTTTTCTTTTTAATGGCAGGGGGTACGTTGCGAAATATAACTCGTATATAATGCTGAGATATTTGCAAAACTCCGGAACGGAGGTGTATGCGGCGGGGAACGAACCCGCGCTGTTGTCCTGACCGGGGAGCAGCGCACTTCACCACCACACCATCCGGATCCTTCGTTTTGCCTGTCTCATAAAAGGGTTAAGATTGTGATTATAACTAAGCCTCAGCTTAACTGGGTTCAATGCCGATTTGGGCTCCCCAGATCAATCCCGTTAACAGGTGATTGCTGATGGCAAAAAAAAGATCGATAGAACTAGCTGAGAGACAGGCAAGACGAAGGACCCGGATGGTGTACTAAGGACAATAGCGAGTTCGTTCCCCACCGCAAACACCTGCGGTCCGGGGTTTTGCAAATATCTCAGCATTACATACGAGTTATATTTCGCAACATACCCTGCCATTAAGAAGAAAAAGGCAGTAAATAAAAGGGTTAAGATTGTAAAGTTATGGATTAGACATAAAGAAGAACTGAGAGCAGATGAACTCCTATAGATTCTTAGGTTATATGCTAGTAAAAAAAGTCCTCAAAGAATGTTACCCACTCTACAAGTCCTACTTATTTCATCATTCCAAATACTTTAATGAACTAGGTTGTGGTAGGTTCTGCTACTGATGGCTGAAATCCGAAAAGCGGAATGAAAGGAAGTCGTAGACTCCAGGCAAAGCACTGGCTTTAGAGTGCTCCTTATAAGAATAGGCCGCCGAATAATCCCTCAAAGAACCCACTCTTAGAACCCATTGCTGCAGTAAATACGACGGCTTAAGGAACTAAGCACTTTCATGCGAAAAGTGATAACTCTACGCAGAAAATCATTATATTAAGCAGGAAAGACAACCAGAAGTGTGGGAACACATGAATTCGGACAGCAGAAATTTAACGTAATAACTGTTTAAAAGTGAAGGTGAGTTTTTTCCAAGGTCGATAACATGAGGATAGAGATGAAAAGACAGGATGGAAATAGAATGGAATTCCAATTGTACACAAGTAGTAGACTGTTCGGAAATCGATGTCGCATTTATAATCCCATTCTCTTTTTTTGTATAGGTTTTCCTCTCAACTGTTTCGGTACGGCTCGAAAAAGTTGGAAGTTCGACGAAGTTGGACAAATGGGTGCCGTACGATTTGAATGACAAAAAAATCGCCGTCTTGTGATATCGTCGGCGCTTCTGCGCAACTAGAACAGCTCGTTTTTCTACCGTACTGCGATGTGCGAAAAGAACTGAATCATCTATGAGAATCGGAAACGATCGGCTCAGTGACTGGGCGGAGATGAAGCTTCACAGTGTTTTTCAAAGCCGAAATCACTACAAAACCTCATGGTTACCGTTTTGTGGTCTACAGCCGGTTTGATCCATCATAGCTCCTTGAATCTGGGTGAAATGATCACGAAGGAGAAGTACATCCAGCAAATAAAGCAAAACCAATCAACGAAATGCAGCAGAAACTTCAACGGTTGTGCCTTGCAATGTTCAACAGAAACGGGAGACCAATGTACAATAACGAGCGGCCACACGTCGCACTACCGACATTGCAGAAGTCGAACATCCTGGGCTACGGAACTCCGCCTCATCCACCATACTCGCCAGACCTCTCTCCTACCGACATCATTTCTTCAAATATATGGTAAGTACTTGTGCGAGGAATGCCCCAGAAACCAAGCTAAGTCCGAAGTGTACCTTAAACGACTTCATCGCCTTCATGCATCCAGAACGTTATGCAACCGGTCTGTAAATTCAAATGGTTGTCATTTTGATTAGTAATGCTTATTCTAAACTAACAGATACCACTTTAAAAATACAGGTTGAAGTCCGACATTGATTTCCGTATAGACTAATGAGTTCCGTTTCGAAATTCCCCTCTGGTGGGATTTCTGTAGAAGTGTATAGTGGCTATTTAGGTCATTAAGGAACGTCTTTGTTGAGATTAGAGACTTTATTGGAGTACCTTCGAAAACATAACGACAGAAGTTGACATCACGACCAAGAATATGCCAATTTCGGTTACAGACCTTAAAAATAAAATACCAGAAGAAAACCAGGGTAAAAACAGTAGGCATGAACCATATCGCACATAAGAAACCAAAATATGTTAACGAAGGTGGAAGAAAAACGAGAAGACATGAATGATGACCTAACGATAGCGGTTCCAATCAATACAGACTTTCGAGTGTAGAACATGGACACTAGAAAAGTCATTAGCAATACTTTGCTGGATTATTAAGCAAATATGAATTTGATTAAAAGGTCTACGTCGTTAACAATATCGTTTACAACTACAATGATGTTGAGACATTTACGAAACTCCGGACCGGTGGTGTTTCGCCGAGGCGGACCGAACACGTTATTACCCTTTCCGGGGGATAGCGCGTTCACCACCATACCATACGAGTCCTTCGTTTAGCCTTTCTCTCAGCTGTGTTATTGACCTATGGGTGCTATCAGCAAGCATCCGTTTACGGCATTGATCTGAGGAGTTTTGCAAATATCTCAGCATCGATAGAAAACTAGCTAAGAGATAGACGGAACAAAGGACCTGCATGGTGTGGTGGTGGATGTGTTAGCCCGCGGAAAGGGTAATAGCGCGCTCATTCCCCACCGCAGACATCTGCGGCCCGGTGTTTTGCAAATATCTCAGCATCATTGTGGTTGTATCACAGCTTACACCCTGCCACTAGAAAAAGAATAGGCAGTAAATAAAGAAAATGAAGGTAATGTCGTTTATATTTTATGAAGTGTCGTTAACAATATTGTAATGCTAAACACATACTGGTAAACAGGTACTGATGTACGAGAGGTCCAAGGATAATGGAAAACAACTATAGAAGCTAAAACCTTAACTACTCAAAAAATAATGGAATGGACGGCTCAGAAATCGGTTTGGGTAGGGAACAGCGACAACAGTGAAACCAAAACGCAAAGAATGAAGTCGAAATTCGGCCAGATTACAGGTCGAGTAAGACAAGAGTACATATTTCCTACTTAATACCTTACTTCATACTAAATAGTAGAAACCGCGAACGAGAAACGTACTTGGCACTGGGGCACTTACACATTCACACCTAAACAACGTCGGCTAATCTTTCCACACGTGCGGGCCACGTGAGTCCTACCGGCCGGCGACTTTTCACTTGCTTTCCATGTTCTTCTTTTTTCTATTTATGTCGTGCACATTAGGTTTTTCTACCTATTTTCCCGTATTCTCTTGTCTATGATGAAGTAAAATCCTTTTTCAGTGTGATTTTTCTACATAAGTGGGGAAGTAGTTGGAAGAGTTGCGAATTTGCAGTAGTTGCGAAACTACTGTATGGAAGCACATTGCTGAAGCGAATCCCAAGGTCTTTTGTCGAAATTCGGATGCAACTAGTGCATAAGAGATATTCTAGTACGATCCTGACGGGCAAAAAAACCTTTCGCACTGCATTCTCGTACGAGAAAACTCGTCCGCAACATGGTTTCGTTGAAATTGGGATGGGAAGAAAACAGCTAGTTTCCACCAACGAATAGTGGGACGTCTATGGTGGAAACTGTCATTGCCATACGATAGGTATTGCGAAGAATATCTGCCCAGAAATAGAAACAGTCAGAAGGAAAATGAGTCATTAACGACTCATTCAGACTTTAGTGCTTTAACCCGTAAATCATATTGGCTGATATCGCTCATCATAAAACGTTGTTCTTATATTTGAAGATTTCGGTACTTATTTTGCACTGAGATTCTTTAGATTAGTTTTCTTTTTTCCTCGAGAGCAAAACGGTAGCACTACAAATGAAGCTCATCTCGACATGAGAATTAAAAAAAAGCTGCACTTAACCTGTTTGGTAATCCGCATAAACAGAAGCAGGGATGAACGTTACTTCCAAATGTCCTTGAGTGGCTCACTAGACGGTTAGCAGTTCGTTTCAGTGTACTTCCTTTACAACTGTTTCTTCTCCAGGAATTACTTTCTCCCACCATAATTCTCGGATTCAAACGATAGCTATCTCACTACAGATCTTACAGATATCAAGAGCTTCAAGCATTGATCCAACAAACCTCATTTCACAGTCTTGGAAAACTGTGGTCTCATTTCTAGAGGATACAGTGGACGGTGGACGTTGGTTTCAATGTGCACAATGTGATAAACAAATTGAACGAATATTGTGTTAAAGGTCTTGGTTCTTCTAGGTGAAACCATAATGTTTATATGACCGAATTTCACATAGGGAGCAGGCCACAACACTTTATTCAGTCCTTCGTTTCCTTACACTCGTCATTCATGAAAACCAGATTTTCGTCTGTACCCAACGTTACCTTAGGGACGTCACTGAACGCTGATCGAGTTGATTCTTCCAGGAATCCTCGAACAGTTCAACCAAGGGCGATCGCTAACCACTACTCTTCATACAGCCATAGTCACTCCATCATGAGAATCTCTCTAAGATGTAGCAACATTTTTCCGTCCATAAGTGCTCATTGTTAACATCTTTTCCTGATCACTAAGCAACACATTTTCACGATAGGCTTATATTTATCAACCGATTAACAGTGCTGAAAGAACAGTAAGACAACTAATTAAAACACACGGTATTTGCTGCTTCGGAAGAACCAGTCTTCTTCAACTATTGACAGCATTCCTAAGTCAGTTTCACATATATCAAACCTTCAGTGGTGGACTGAATCTAACAGAAAATTCCCAAGGCCGACTTCCTACTAACTCCGGCATTTGTTGCAGCTCTCATTTAAAAACATACAGAGAGCGTACTTATCAATGTTTCAACTGCTTATAATCAACTAAACCCGTTTATCCTTCAGAGAGCAAAGTGCAATGCCCTTCAGGTCCTCAAAACAATGTCACCGTTTCAGTCAACGTATTTTATACGATTGAAAGAACAGCTAGAATAAGAAAATCGGAGAGTTCGATATACTGCTAGTCGACCGTTTTCTCGATATTAGCAGGATTTTTCTCATCAAACGACTCGAGAACAACGGTAGGTATAGCAACATCAAATGTCGAGCCATTCTCACGCTCCATTTTAAATCGACCCCTAAAAATTGGAATAATTCATTAGCGAGACCTCAAAATTAGCGGCATAGTATTAGTCGACCAAGTACGAGGTAACTTTGGATGGAAACGGTAAACATTTGACTTCAAACTGTTGCAAAGAATCGGACATTAAGTGCTAACCCACCACATATGACCGCCTTTAGAATGAGTAAGTTCAACGGTGCTACTAAATTGGAATGCTGGATTCTGAACATTCAATTCCGGTTGCTGAAATATATGTTGATAAATAAATGAAACGCAACTGTACAAGAAAGGCAGAAAGATAAACCATATATGATGAAAAAATTCACAAACAAGAAAAGCACCTTTCCAATCACTCCATGCCCATGAGCTTGATTCATATTGTTGAGGGAATAGATCTTGAGAGATCGTTCTCGAAGTGTAACAGCATTTTCCGGTGAATGATTTTCAAGTCTAGATGAAAACTAAATTGAGCAAAATTCAACACATTTGAAAACCTCCCACCTTATCACATATCGCCACATATGCCTTTGTTGTCCTCCGCTTATGCTGCTTCCCAAATAAAACGTCGTTACCGTCACTTCGATGTTTTCGGTCACTTCCCTGTTTTAAATGAAAGTAAGAAAGAAGAAAGTGAGCGAATAAACCACAAACCTGTAGACATCTCTTGGAGCAAGCCATGATCGTTGTGATGCCATATAGTTTTCGAAGAGGTTCGTCTTCATACTAATTTTGTATTCCTTTCCTGAATGTAATTTGCTTTATGACTCAAACTTGAAAGGTCTTGGTGACCAAGTCTCGAAACAATGTTAACGATGAGAGAACGGTTTGAAATTGCAAAAAAATAGCTTATTTAAAGAAGAAAAACGAGACCTTCGTTTACTTCAGTGACATCGAAAATTCTATGGAACAAATCGTGGTCTATGGGCTCCTTATCGGTAGCTGTGAAAGGAACGATATCGCTGTGGGAAACACAATCCATTCCACTATAAGCTATCTATTAAAGAATGAAGAAAGAATTTCGCAGAACCTACTTAATAAGTGTGAGAAGCTTTTCACCGCGAGTTGTACCATCCATCAAGTATGAAGTTAAATCAACTGGGAAGCCCATATGACTCCAGTCACCTCTGTCGATAAGCACTTGATAATACCTCCCTTGAAAAACGGAGCGATCGCTGCAAGTATAGTGGAATACAATACAAACTTTACAATAGTGATTATGTTTACAGGAATATGGAAATCTGATGCATAGTCTTCCCCCATGATACTTTAATATTGATATTCTGCGGAAAAATCAGCTACAATAGACACCACTAGCCCTTCTCCTTGTTATCGACATGCTTAGTTGGAGGTTAGCAAAATCTCCATATGTCGCCGTTTCTGAGTCACACAGTGAGTTATGCTCGCTCTTCAGACATGAGACTCTGGAAGATTCATGCCAAGGTAATCGCGAAAAAGCCTCCTTGTAGTCCGCTTAGGACAACTGAAACCCAATCACTACTGGCCCTTGTCCAACACACGTTATCCACATTTTCTGTCCATAAGAGTTAAAATCATGAAGTGTAAGGTGGTTTAAACCGTCTTGATGGTCGACGAAAGCTTCTTTTTTTTCTTTTGCCTGCTGACTCTCTTGGGAAAGCATGCTTTGTTACACTGCTGTTTTCGGTCCAATTCAATGTTCCTTTAATTCTTTTAAGTATGAATAGAGCAATATGCTTGTAAACTACACACAGGAAGTAGAGTGGGCGATAATTGACGTCGCTTAGGTTTCACTTGTTCCACAACAACACTGTAGTGTTAGTTCCCAGTTAAGACAGAAGCAGATATTTCGTGAAATTGAGCGCGAAAAACTGAGCTAGTTTGTTACTGGGGACTGCCGCTAGATCTTTCAGATATTTAGGCACATCCTATCCAAAGTAGTGAGTAGTGTTTGGAATAAAACCGCAACGACGCTAAGATATGAGGAAAACTCGGAACTTCAATTGAGCTTCGAACCTCAATGACACTTTCCGGGGGCCCATGTGTTACACACTGCATCAATCGACTCCCTCGCTTTACCTTCCTCTCAGCCAACTTTTTTTGATGACGGTACTATCGCTGCTCTAACGATGTGATGACAAACTCAGGTAGCCTTCACATTTCTTCAATCAGTGGGTCCCTAGCCCTTCAAAGTTTCTGCTGAGGCCATTTCCAGCATTTAAACGCACTAGATCCTTTCTGGTGTTCTAATCTAGGCATTTAACTGCCACGACCGATTTGATTTCTGATTTCTGATTTTGATTTTTTTTGACTGATTTCTGTGCGGTTGGTCTCTACGTGACATACTTAGTGGAGACCTCATAGAAAGCGGTGAGTGTGCAAAGCTGTGTTCAAAGTGATTGAAATCTTGGTTTGGGGTTTCTTTGTTTGGTTATGGAGGCGTCTGGCCGAGTGAGTTGCTATCAACTTGACCTTTCCAGGCTCTGAAGAAGGCGAAATTCGCCGAAACGTCAGCTTAATCGTGAACAAAGAACAATAACACCTCGCGTTTGCTCAAAAAATACGAACAAAATCACTAGGCATTTAAAGTCGTCGATGACGGTCTTATAGAACGTAAGATCTTATCAGCTGAATTCCTCTACGGTCATAAAGAATGTTTTGGCATCATTTTCTTCATAGCTTAATTTCGAGCGTAAACAACGAAAATACTCACGGCTTTCCGTGGACTAAATTTTCTCAACTGTAAACATTGAATTATAATTCAAAAATAACTTTCGACCACGCTGCCGCTGGTAAGGGTATCAACATCTCAGGGTCATACATACTCTTAAGTAGCTTGCTAGAGGACTACTCCAAACATCCATCCACTCTCTAACCTCTAGACTGTAGACTATCAACTGTACCGACGTTAACGATAGAGTCCGTATATGTGCTGACACACATATATTCGTACGCATGGATATGTGCGCAGAGGTCATCCTGAGTAATTCAATCATTCCTATCCAATTTTTCTCACGTCTCATTACTTAGCGCATACACCTATTCTAACACATTTCAGCCAGTACCTCGCATGAACATTCTGAAGGACTATGTAACTTTGCGGTGTTTTGAAAATAATCTGGCATAACAGTATATAATGGTGCAGAACTTCTCCAGTAGGTAAACGGCAAGAAATTCTGATCGAACTCACGAACCTAGAACTGCTCTTCTTTTCTTGAAATCTGCACTTGAAAGCACAGATAACAACGCCTTTATAAGCAAACGTTTTGTGAATGAACAGCTGAAAACGACCTATTATGGTAAGCTGAGGAATTCAAGTACATGTGGACTGGTAAAGCACCGGAGTAGTGCTGGAATCTCAAATCTGTGATACGGAACTCTTTACCTGCCCTGGATCATATGACGCATCCGATGTTATTGGTACAATCAACCTTCCAATTTCTTTGGTATTGGTAGATGGATTGCTGGAGCGGAATCTATAACAGCATCAGGTATACTCAACAAGCCGTATGCACTGTAACACAAATAATGATGTGATCACAAACCACTTAATATACACTTGTATACATAGGTATAAATATATATGATATATATCAAGGAACTAGTGTATAGTAATAATGTAATAATATATAATCAGTATATTAGCGCATATGTATTTTAGAAACACATGTGTAAATGTATATATATACATACATGCACAGAATTGGGTGGGAAGCAGGTGGGACAGTGACTACTAGTGCAGTCCATCAGGAAGATGGTGCTGCTCGACCACCTCCTCCTCAAGGTTCTCCTCCAATCCACATGGGAACGCTTTAGTTCGAGTATCATCAAGATTTCAAGAAGAATCGATTTAACTAGCGATCTATGATATTTGTAAAGAAAAAGGAATCCTCCAGCAGAAGCCGAAACAGCACGCAAAATGTTCGAAGTCGTGCGTGGACGATGAATATGAGGAAAATGGACCCAATGCACGAAGTGCTGAGATTCTCACGGTAGATGTGATGACGGGTCATATGGAAACTATATAAATGTATATTATAATATATTAATATATGTATACATGCATGTACACACGTATGTATATATGCATACACACATATACTAATTGTTAAGAATCAGCCTTCTTGTACAAGTTCCGCGATATAAAGACGAGTTTTGGCAACTAACAGTGCTATCACAACCGAAATCTTATCACGAATAAAACAGCACTCAATAGATGTTGTCCTACCTGACATTTCTATATGAAACTAATAATAATGGTCTTCGAGAAGTAGCAAACAACAATCCAATAGGGCCCGATGCTGCCATAAGGCTAGAACAGTTCAATCAACGAAAAGAAAAAAAATGGTAGGAAGCAAACGATACTTACACATAAGATGTTGAAACATAAAAGGCATGAAATAAACTGCATTCAATAACTTTATCTCAGATTCATAATAAACAATGTAACAAACATAAAGGCAGGAAGTAAAACAGATGGAAAAAGACCGATGGATGACCAGCGCTCGATAAACTCGATCGTAGTTCGCAAAAAAACTTCAAATTTCTCTGTAACACCGTGAATAGAGACTGGGTTAATTCATGTCGTCCCTGACTGTACTGTCCCTTCGAATGTACAATACTATTTTGCTTTGCGAGGTTTCGTTCCCTTATGAATTGAACAGATTCCAAACGTCAGATTTTCATAACGCACCATCTCGAATCCAACACCACGAATCATAGCAGCGAAATCCTCCTTCAAAGCAGTAGGATTTTGATGCATTACAAAATTAGAACTCTAAAAGCTAAAAAATGGAAGAAATTCCATACTTGGTTTGGAAACTTTCTAATGCTCTCGACAAGATATTTGTAGCTATCGTAGTCGCCAGCAATAACCTAGATGTTTAGGACCACATGTATTTGGAAATACCAAACAAGCACAAGAAGAAAACTAAGAAAAACAAATAACCAACTTACTTGCCCCATAGCAGGAATAATATTATACGAATATGCATCGTAGAGAGGTCGGAGAAGAGGATTCACGGAACTGAACTCTAGAACGGCGAGCATTCCGCCTGGTTTCAAAACGCGGTAAGCTTCACGAACAACCTGAAAAACTGGTTTGACTACTCATAATTACGACAAATGGTCTCAACGAATAATTGTCCAAAACTTTACCACCGCAAGTCTCAAAAGTTGGCTTGAAAGTGTAATCCACCTTCACTACTTCAGTCTACTTATAAACAGAAAGTGTTAACCGAAACACAGAATCCCACTGCAGCTTCGAACCAGTGATTATTCTTTTCGAGGGTTCACGCGTTATCTAGTGTAAAGAAAATATCACTGTTAAGGAAAATTTTTAATGGAAAAGAGATAAGTGTCGACAGATGCATAAGTTGAGCTCTTTTTAATTAGTCATATGAATTATTAACCAGTATATCACTAAGCAGACAAGGTCAAGTGAGTTTTAAGTGGACTTTTTCACGATTTTCAACACGAGCATCGAATCGTTCACTACATAGGCCATAGGTGATAGAGACCGTCACAAAGTAAACCTAGGACATAAATAAAGAGTGTACACTTTTTCTTCAAGCCTTTATAACATGACATATGTAACAAAGACCATAAACAAAGCGTCTTATCGATAAAACACACCAGATTCAACATTTACAGAACTCCCTGGTGAATATCCTACCATCTTTGTTGGTTCCTATGTAGGTTATTGGTGCTCGAAAAGTGCTTCCTCCACGATGCTTTCACCGTAAAGATTTTTTTTCTCATTTTATTTTTCATTTCTCAAACAATTTCACAGCACTAATCTCGGGAAAAACTGCTTTCAAACTTGTCTCCTCAGGTAGAGTAAGACTACCAGAGAATTAAACGATAATAATGGGGCAAGATCAATATAGAATCGAAATATTTCAAACACCGAAATATGAAAAAAGGAGCGGTAACAGATGAGGAACTCGGGAAACCGACTAGAAGTACAATAGGTAGAAAGACGAACAGAAGGTATGCTAAGCATGAATGAATGAGATCGGGAAAAGGAGGACGGAAGGAGAAAAAGTGAAACGAGTAGGAAAGCCGAAACGGCAAGGAAAGTGGAAGAAGCAAACGTTAGATATTACTCAGTATAACCAAGGTTTGCAACTTAAGAATTTTCTCAGCACGTTAAAAACTTTCCATTACACTTATAGTATTAGCTAGAAGAAACGGTATAATTATTAGTTCAAAAACATACTGTCTACAAAACAAATGCTTCTGAAGTTAACATAATGCAAACCCTAAACTCTACTGAATGGTTGTTGTACTGAGAATGGCAATCCCATGACAGCAGCAGAGGAAAACCAAGTAATCCTAACAGTACTAAGTTCGTAAGCACTAGCGGATCTGTTACGATAGAACCAACCAAGCCTCTGCTCGTAAATGGATAAGTAAAACTACCCACATCTTGACTGAAGTAGAAAATGAATGACCGCATAGTACTACGAATAAATTCGGAGAGTTCACCGAAGTCACAAAGCAGAGTACCGCGTGCCGCACTGTTTATAAACAATAAAAAAACCTCTCGGGGTTGATCAATCTCTGAAGGATGCACCATGCATTCCCCTCCATTAAGCACCTTTGAAGGTGACTGAATGCATATCTGGTCCTTACAATGACTCGAGGTGGCTTACCGATGTATCGAGCCAGTTCTGCTATCCTCCCAGACAAGTCTTGTACTAATTTAAAGACCCCGGAGAGATGGAGAGCTTTGTGAGCCTGAGCGTTGGGATCAATCCCGCATGTATTGATGTATTGCAGCGAGTTTACGACCACTTGGCAACACGCATGCAGTTTATAAGCCAAAAACCAATTGATGGCAGGAGCGAAAGGCGAAGCATACCTCGTCAACATGTGTGCAGTTACGAATTCCAAATGATATGGTGTAAACATCGAATGAATTTTCTTTAAACGGCAACTTTTCGCCGTTGGCACAGATCCATTCAAGTTGCGTGGAATCAACCTAAACTAAGCATTGTTTTCCAGAAAAATGTCAAGGGAAACATATCAGGAAAGCATGTCTTATACGCTATGAAATTTGACTATCAACGCACAAGTGGTTCTGTTTTGGCGCGATCACGGCCAACATCGAGCATTTTCTCATTTATGTCAACAACAGTGATCCTCCCAGAGGATCCAATCCTTTTTTGCAACCGGAACGCTATATCACCTGTTCCTCCTGCAACGTCCAGGACCTGAAAACCTCGTAGGAAATGCAGTGGATTTCGTAATATTATAACGAATCTCAGGACCGACTTTGAGTTAACCTCTTGATGATCAGACACGAGGTTATTACTACACTATTAGCATTGTACTGCACATGGTTCTGAATAGTGTTTGACTGAGTCGAATGCATGTCAATTTGACCCTTCCAGGCTCGGAAAAGGCGAAAGCGCCGAAACGTTAGCTATTGTACATGGATAAATGCTGCAGTTGCAACCTCATGTCTGCTCATCAAGAAAACAGTAAATTTTGTAACAAACATGAGTTTTTTGGGTCTTAAACATATAACAACTGGCTGTTTAGTTATCGGCGATTGTACTAAAGACAAAAAAAAGCTCGAAAGACCGACTTTCTATGAACCTCGGCATAGATAGTTGATATATTTATTTATGTGATCTTATAAACTGATCTTTTTAAGCTGAGTCCCGCACGTAACATCACAGCTCTGAGGAAGGCGAAGTCGCCGAAACGTCAACCATCGATCAATAACATCAAAAACAACGACAACGACAACGACAACGAAAATCTGTACCAACCTCGCGTCAGCTTAAAAAGATCAGTTTATAAGATCACATAAATAAATATATCAACAAAAAAAAGCGTAGTACCAAACTGATATCAGGGAAAACAATGGATGTGAGAGACCAACACAATCTTTGTCAAGTCTCGATATTCTTGTTGAGCAAACAGGCGGTGTTACTTTATTCCGTTAAAGCCGACGTTTCGGCAGTATCCTCTTCTTCAGAGTCGTTTATTATGTACTTTCCGTTGAAGAAAACCAATGAAGACTCATCGACCATATGCGACTCCGATCAGCGGTTCTTCCTTAGTGGAAGACACCTAATAAACGACTCTGAAAAAGGCGATAATGCCGAAACGTCAGCTTTAACAGAATAAAGAATAAAGCAACACTTGTTTGCACACCAAGAAGATCGAGAACTATATGATCAATGCCGAGGCGAATAGAAAATCGGTGGTGGGAAAATGTCGTCTATTTATCAGTACACAATCATCGGTGTGTTTAACAATACTTACTTGATACTTGAATGGCCTGTCCTCACTGGTTGTGCGGGCCCCAGCATAATCTCCATTCTTCGGAGATTTGTTGGTTAAGCCATTATGGTTCCTTGGTGTCCCAAGGTCAGCCTGGCCAAAGTCTGCTCCAGGTCTTCATCACCACAGGCAATCACAGCCCTCGTGGATCAGAGGGAGATTTGTCACCATGCGACCAATTTGATACCAGACGGTGGTGGACCCTGGTATTGGTTTACCCTTAATTTGGCTTCATGATAAAATCGCTGGACTCTTTCTCAGTTTGGTAGACCGTTCGAGTCGGATGAATCTCAGCGCTGTACATCGCAGCCCGACATCCAAGAACACCTCCAGCCACGATGAGACGGTAAACCATTTGTAGTTTTACAATAACGAACAGGTAAACATAATAACCTGTGATCGAGAGCTGAGAGGTAGACCATCAACATAATAGTCTTTCCACAATCGATGAATTCCAAAACTCATGGCATCGTTCATCAAGTCGTAGTTGTTAGCGACACTAGCGAAAACATTGTGCACTTAAGCATAAACCATCATTTATACAGACGTAAATGTAAATTGAACAAGTGCTGAGACCTATCCAGACTGTTTGAACCTTTAAATTACGCCACAGCTCGCGAAACAAAAAAAAATACACAAGTAGGCCACTCAAAAAACCCATGCCCGTGCTATCGAAGTAAAAATCTTTGAAAACCAGGCGCACAACTATAATGATGTGGGATATTTCCTAAACTCCAGACCGCAGGTGTCTGCGGTGGGGATCGAACCCAACCAGGATCATTGTAATTATACTTCACACCATATCCTGCCATAAGGCAATAAGTAAAAGTGACTACTAAAGACACATTTGCTCAGATTTCATCACTTCCACTTGAAAATCAGGCCTCCTATAATGAAGAGAATTTCCACAGAAACGAAAACCTCAAAAGTCTTAACGTACCTCTCATTTCTTTTTCATGCTCTTCAACCTGTTCGTTTCCGAAATGAGTAGTAACCGGTCGGAACTGTGTCGTTCGTACATCGGAAAATCCGCTAACGAATGAATATGGGGCGCATTTCAGCACAGCTTTCACCATCAATGAACGGCCCATGTGCATATACGGGTACAGGAGAGGTTCTGATTGCCAAGAAAAGAAGACGAGAAAAGACAGGTACAATAACTGAGAACTGAGCGGCGCAAGAACTTTGTAGCCTAAGCTAATTCGCCAAATCGATGGCGAACTCGTACGCAGAGCAGCGCCGTAGAGCATCTCAAATCCACAATGGGTAGATTTCTCTACGGACAACATCTTGGCATCATGTTTACATCTCATTTTCTCGACAAACACCACTTTCCAACAACTGTGCTACCGGCGTCACCTGATCTTCGCTTTGTAGTCGAGCGACTCGAATCTGCGTCAATGGAGTCTCCATTTGTCCTAGTCGCGTGCCACTTTTCTCCAGGGCATTTTATCAGCGAGGTGATGGGGACGACATCGTTTTCCTCCAGGATTTTGGATGGAGAAGTTCGACTATGGACTTGGTGATCTTCGTATAATACGTTCAGAACCCCGTTAGACATAACCTTCTCCATTGTAGAAGTAAAACAATTCAAGAAGAACCGTCTTGAACTACTAGAGCTCTATTTCAATTTCAGTCTGGATTCCTCTACTATTCCGCCGTCATCTGTGATTGTAAATATATCCTGTGGTGAGTGACTAGAAGGTTTTTGTTGAACACTCATCCCATCAGCATGAAAAACAGTTCTTCGTCATCGCTTTTTTTGGAATCTTAATTTTAATAGTCAATGTCGTTTGGCGACTGTTAACGTTTGAAGTCCAAGTTCCACCTGTGATTCATGTGGGTGGATGGACAGCGTGAGTTGATAAATTTTTTTCCGGCCCTTTATTTAGACCGAAGTTTCTCGTCGAACTTTTTCTGTTCAATCGGTAGTTTATCTAGCATCGCGCCTGGCCCCCAATTGGAAAAGCTGTTCTCTGCACTTAGGAGTTTAAAAGCGAGTTCATTACCGTAGCAGGATCCCCCATGGTTAGAAGGAGTCCGATGTTTCTATCCGGAAGCCTAGATGCGTGTAAACCAGTATCAGGAATCACCACCGTTTTGATATCAGTCGCCTAGCGGCGAATCTCTCTTTGATGCACAATGGCGGCGACTGCTTGGGGTGATGATGATCTGGGGGAAGCTCCGAATAGGCTGACTCTCGGGACTCCATGTAGTTACATTAGCTAAACGAGGAAAACTCCAGCCTTCGTACCTCGCACACGGGGCGCTTTTGTCTTCGACGTCGCACGACGAAACAACCAGTGGTCAAATCTCGGGTTGCATAGGAAGTCATTGGAATCGAAGTAAACGAACGCAACGCACACAGGACACGCCATGGAGACTGCTATCTGCTGTGTACCTGTAACACTGGAACAGTCTCTGCAGGCGCTGACATCACTATTCTTCAGGCCGCTGGTCGCATCAAATTCCATGTGATCGCCCTACAAGAGATATAAGGCGAGAAAATCGACATACGTCAATTAGATGACGGAACCCTTTTCATTTGTGGTGGGAAATTCCTGTTATGAAATGATGGAGGTATTTTGCTGTACACCCATCTATCTCGCAGTCACGTCACACTAAATCTCATCAACGCGCTAGGCCATTCTTCGTCTTCAACTTTTGCGTCAAAAGAAAGTATTATCAGCTTTTACTCACCAAATCTTAAAGCTGATGAGAGCGAACTGAACGTGTTTTACAACGAGATGAAGGGAGCAATCCGCAACGAGAAGGCCTACAAATACATTTGTAAAGACTTAAGGCCAGAATATGAACGGCCATTGAAAATGAATACAGGATTGGGAAATACAAAATAGGAGAGCGAGATGAGAATGGAAATCTTGTCGTAAGACTCCTGTCCACGGACCCCCTCATATGAGGGATCTCGAGCCGGTTAGTCGTGAGGCTACATGGCGCGTCACCAGGTGACGAATAGGGGGTAATCGCGGACCGAAAGCGGCCTTTGCTTCCCTGAGACGCAGGTGGATTCAGGGAATGGACTCCTTGTTTCTGTTACATCGATTTGGCACATGCTCTCTCTATTTAAGAGACGTATTCATGTATGCGTGTGTGGGTGCCTTCAAGTTTATGCGGATTGTATTCTACGAGTCCATTCGGCCAAAAGCCTGCAATCAAGTGTCTGGGAAGTATATGGTAGGCGGTTACGAGTCGCCTCCAACAAATAAGCTCCATGTCCACTCTGGGAGAGCCTGGCAAGCTACCCGTGAGTATACCCAGTCCCCACGTTCAGAGTCCAGCAAGCCATACGTGGGTATCAAAAAGCTAAAAGCAGTAAAAAAAACGGGCCTCATTCCTCTGACATTGAAAGAGCCTCTATATGGCAGCGTTGGGTACGACGAGTACACAAAGGCTGCTAAAAACTCAGAGCCATTGTTGGCTATCTAAATATCGAATGACCAAGGTGATGATCTGTACCTACAATGCACGCACACTTGCATATGAGTCCTCGACAGAAGAGTTGATCATGCCGGCAAGGATATATCACAACGTCATCGGACTGGTGCAGACGAGAAGACGCCATCCATTAAACGCTGTCTATGACACCGGAGAAGAACTGTTCCTTGGAACATGCGACAGTAAAGAAGTCGACGGCGTCGGCGTTCTCGTCAACAAGAGTTTGTTCATGACATCGATAATTCGAACAACTAACAACCCGAATCGGACGTTTACGATTGAAAAGATGTGGACCAATACCGGCTTTGACATTCTTCGTCGTTTATGCGCCGACATCAAACTATGACGAGGAAGTCGGATCGTTCTATGTGGACTTGGAGAAGTTCTACGGAGAAGACTAAACATTCTTCAAGGTCATCGCAAGAACGTCTGAAGAATGTCACATTGGGAACCACGAATTAGAATTGAATGAACAGGGTAAGCGGCTGTCCGAGTTTATCATAACGACCAAGACTATCCACGGTAACTCGCAATTCCCGAAGCCTCACCCTCAACGCTGGACGTGAGAGTTTCTCAATGGAGAGTTCCGTAACAAAGTAGAGCACATCGTAATAAATAAAAGGCTTTGCCTTACCAATGTCACTATTGTCACAAAATCCTTCATGGGATCAGACTATCGCCTCTTTCGTGCAAGAGTCTATTTCTCGCGGAAAGGAGAAAAGGCCGCTAAATTCAAAAACCGAAGTCCCAGAATCACCATAAACTGGGACTTATTCAATTCATTAGTCGGCTGTTGGGAAGATACCGTTGTCGATAACATCGATACATTTTAACGTTAGCGCTATGAAAGCTGAGATCTTGAAAATCACCAAGAGACATCTCTTCAGAAACACTCGAGCTGACACGCCCGCGTGGAATCGAACGAGCTGTAGGGAACCGCAAACTCACGTCCGTACTTGCAAAAGAATGCAGATAGGCGATAAAAAAGATCTTAAAGAGAGAAGAGCAGCAGTAACGGTCGAAGCTGCAGAGGCTGGGAAAAGCACTCGCAAAGCCCTCACCGAAGCTTCGCTAATTACAAGATCAAGATGATTGCACTCCGACGCCCAGACGGAACAGTTACAGCGTCCAGAAAGGCAATGGAAAAAATCATTCACGAATACTACTCAGATCTCTTCGATAGCCACGTCCACCTTCCGTTATATGAAATAAAGGAGGGTGGATATGTTGTGCCGCCGGTTCTTCCTTCCGAAATCCGACATACCATTTCGTCGGTGAAAAATCGAACAGCACTAGGTCCGGACAGGATAAGACCTGAACGCCTGAAGAACCTTCCGCCAGTCCTCGTAAACACACTGGCTCAGCTCTTCACACATTACTTGTCTGAATCCAAGGTCCCTACTCAGTGAAAGACCAGCAAGACCGTGTTATTGTTCAAGAACGGTCACTTCCGCGACATCGGCAACTGCCGCCCAATCTGCCTTGTGTCTGCCGTCTACAAACTTTTCACTCGAGTTATCCTGAAAGGGACTGACAGAACACTGGACGAAGGGCAGCCATGCGAGCAAGTAGGGTTTCGAAAAGAATTTAGTACGATGGACCACATCCACACGATAACAAGACTCATTGAAGTATAGCGAGAGTACAAAATACCGCTCTGCTTCACATTCATCGACTTGAAGAAGGCCTTTGACTCAATTGAGATAGAAGCAGCCATGGAAGTCCTTGGTAATCAGGGAGTCCCTACTCAGTATATAAAGATACTTCATGAGCTATACAAAGATTTCGCAACCATGATATCACCATTCTACAACGATATCAACATCGACGTCAAAAGACGAGTTAGGCAAAGGCGATACCGCCTCGCCAAAATTATTTACCGCCACCCTCGAGAACGTCATGCGAACATTGGAATGGGATAATATGGGAGTAAAAATCGATGGTCGGCAATTATACCATCTTCGCTTTGCTGATGACATCGTCCTTATAACACCAAACATTAGCCAAGCGGAACGCTGGCCGACTTTGATAAAACCTCTGGAAAGACTGGTCTTCGACTAAATCTCACAAAAAACGATGTTGACGAGGATCGGATTGATATCTTATGGCCTGTTTCATGCTCAATGGAATGAATATCTCCGAGTGCTAGTGCTTACCCCTATTTAGGTCGGGAAATCAACATGTTGAAGGACTTAGCTCCAGAGTTGAGCAAAAGGAAACGAACAGCTTGGGCAGCTTTCAAAAGTGTTGAGGATGTAGTGAAGAGAACAAAGAACACCCGACTCGTTGCCCACCTTTTAGGCTCAACGGTGCTTCCTGCGTTAACGTATGCGTCAGAAACTTAGTCGCTGTGTAAGCAGGATGATAGATCACTCAGCGTTATTGGACGCTCTGTCGAAAGAACGACGCTAGGAGTATCCCGTGTTACGCAAGTAAGGGAAGTGATCCGAAGCTGCGATATGCGTTAACGATCAAAAATCAAAGATGCCGTTCTGTACGCCAGACAGTGGAAGATAAGGTGGACCGAACTCGTAAAGCGAATGAACAATAACCGGTGGACAAGAGCCGTTAGTGACTGGATTCCTCGGGATGTTAAATGCACTGCAGCAAGACCATCAACCTAATTGTCAAAGTTCTTCACGAAAATCGTTGAAGAAAGACATGATTTTCAACGAGTCCCTAGAGAGAGCAGAATCCACTGGGATATTCTTGCACGCAACAGGGTATATTGGAAGATTTACTGGCGCCCGCTCGAGTCACGCGACGATCAACGGGATCACGGGTGATACAGGCGATACAGAACTGTCCCCACCACGATTCTCCCACGGGAATTCGTTCATCGAGAAAGGAGAAAATCGTCGGTGAACATGGGAGCCTCCTAAGGGCACGACTCATGCGGAGATCGCCGATATTTTCATGAACAGAAAGTAGTACCTGTTTCAGAATTCAGTGCTACCTGGATTCTGTGCTGGATCTGATGACTACAATCTCCGTACTTATATTTAGTAGTTTAGCAATAGGCTGGAAAAGAACCCTTGCCATCTTCCATGAAAAACGAAATAAGTCATTTATGACGAGGATATTCTCACTGAAATCCTCTTCTCATATGACTCTCAGATAGACGAAGACTTTACCAAGAACTATACGGTTCTTATCGAAGGACTTGAAACTTAGCCTACTAGGACAAACTTCAATTGAAATCACCAATGGATATTGTCCAGTCTTCTGACTTAATGCATGCATCGCGGTGAATACATATGGTAGTTGTTTTATATGAGTAGTAATCTCATATATAGGCAGTGTCCTGATTTTTAAACGAAGTTTTTAAGAGAAAGTTTTTTATTTGTTAAACTGTTCAGTTTTTACGTGTAATGTTCTTACTGAATAACAATTTTAATCTACCAACGGAAATGAACAACGTTTGCATTCTAAATAACGTACATGCACACATATATGTATACGAATGCTAATGCTAATAATATAATTCAGATAGAAGCTATTGTAGAGGTGTTCACGTTATACGATACCAAAGACGATTCGAAAATCCCCGCATGGCACGCAGGCCCTGTTCTAATGTTGATATTACTTATATTTTCACTTTTTCGTCATAATTCAGACAACTGTCTAACGAAATTGTTGTATTAGATCGGAAACTGTTCTGTTCACTTGATTTACATACAACTGAAGGGTAAAAGCTAAAAAAGGATAAAGCTGTTGGCGTTGATCAATCCCCGAGAGCTATGCCGTGCATTCGACTTCATTAAGCATCGTCAGAGGTCACTGAATGCATACCTGGCCTTTACAATGACTCGCGGTGGCCTACCGATGTATCGGGCCAGTGCTGCTACCGTCTCAGACAAGTCTGGTACCAATTTGCCGACACCGAGGGACAGAAGACTTCGTGGGGCACGGGCGCGAGGATCGATCCCATATATTTTGCAGGGAGCCTCGACCACTGTGCTACACGCACCCTTAACAGTCATGGTTATCGCATGAATAATGAATCGGCCCACATGTGTTGATATTAACTTAGAATAAATGAATTAGGAAATTAGGTGTAAAGTGGATACGGCAATGTCACGACACTAATCGTCGTTCCCCAACTAGTAACCACTGCTTAGCCGGGTTCTGAAGCTTCTTGTTGTGGAACACTTAATATAGACTGAGGTCTTGCACAAAATCAAAGTAAAATGTAATAATATATAACTTTTATCAACTGCCCATTATTTTTTCACGGTGGCAGGGTGACAACCACAATGATGCTGAGATATTTGTACAACTTGGATACCAGCCCAGATGGAAACCGAGTTTTTTCCAGCAGCTCACGTGTCATTCCTCTGTACCACTGAAGGCCTAGATTAGCCTTTCTCTTAGGTAGCTTTCTACCTAACAGTGCCATCAGCAATCAGTCGTCAACGGGAATGATCCGGGGAGCACAAATCGGCATTAAATCGAGTTAAGTTGAGGCTTTAGTGAAATAACATCGTTGTGGTTGCGCTTCACGTGATAGTCCGCCGTGAAAAATAATGAGCAGTAGATAGAAGTTACACATTGTGATTTCGACTAAAGTAGAAAAGTGAAGCTTCATTAAGTATATTTAATGACAACAATAATCCATAGAAAAACTTTAATTTACACATGTAAACTCATACATTTCATTTATATTGACCAACCAATACTGATTAAAGACGATGTAGGCCCTTCGGGAGTCAGCTTCACAAATGTGGAGCTGTCTATTCTTATAGTGAATAAACGTGTTATTATTTAATTAATATACTGTACTCTGATGAAAAACGCAAATAAGTAGCCCTGTGATGTTAAGGAACTGGAAGAGAGTGACAAAGTTTGGTGAACTCGGGTAGCATTTCCTCATAAATTTGCGACTTCGCAACATCAGGCTCCGCCACTTTTTCGATATTTGTTGTACTGTTGTAGTAATCGCTGTAGGACGAAGGCGGTGAGTAGTAAGCTGAAGAGAAAATTGGAATGGTAACATATCATTCTGACGAGTGTTAGAAAGAGTGATGAGGAGAAGAAAATAAAGGCAAGAATTTACATTTAGAAGTGATCTGCTGACTCGTCGTCATTTACCACAATATGAGCCACTTCAGCACATCCATAGTGATTTTAGAGACAGTGATTTTTATTTCAAAAGTAATCAACCATTTTTTTAGACTTAAATCACTAGAATGAAATTGAAGTTAGTTCAATGACGCCCTTAGCAAGCATTCTTATGACAGAGTTGTAGACCCTACCCTTATGTAAAAGATGAAGTATTGAGTTCCATACTAACCACTCACCATCCCCTACACTTTCTCCTCGTTTAATTTTCTTGATATTTAATTATATATAACAAGACTTATGGAATTGTTAATATTTACCGTATCTGGCAAGCATAGCACTACCGAGAGCTGCCGAATCGGGAACATTCAGTGTATACACGTCCATAGTGAAAACGTCGGACAGTACCCGCTGTAAATCGCGATTGGTCGAAGCACCTCCAGTAAGGAAAAGACGGCCTGTATAACGGATCCACTCGGAAAAAAGGATTTCTTTTTTTGTGGAAATTATTAAGAAGCAAATTTGTATCTCTTTATATTCTACCTTATCAATCTTGTCAACAAATAAGGAGCCGAACGAAGGTAAAGAAGGAATAATTAATAACATCAAAGTATAGTAAAACATTCCAGATTTCTTGTTCCTATCTATATTTTTTAGTGAACTAGCTCGCCATGTGCATTGTACTGGCTGCGATTGGTATCAAACTTGTCCGGGAACAGTTCATCACCTTCAATCCAAGTGGAAACGCTGTAGTCCGGTTTTTCCAGGACTCCAGGGAGGACCAACTCTACAAGCACTCAACGACATCCATAAAGTGAAGAAAATCCTCATATAGCAGACAAACCCATAAGCAAAAGTTCGAAGACCTTCGTAGACGTTGGATGCGAGGAAGGGAATCGAATGCAAAGGTGCTCGGACCCCAACAGTAAATATGAAGACGGGACATGTGAAATAAAATAATTTTGGGATAGAACTTACACTTTTTTCATGAATTGACTTATAGCACCACAATTACGCTATTTTTATCCTATTCTAAAATTCCGCGGTCAAGTAATCATAGGATTGGGCGCTGTTGCAAAAATCGATGTCATCATGAGAGAAATCTAGTGGCAATGTAGAAAGCCTCTCTTTGAAGCATGAAGCCGGGCGACTACTTACTGTGAAGATCTGGGGATGCTCTAACAGTCACAGATTACCAAATTAAGAGACTACATCTTTCGCGGCGAGCAATGAACATGGATAATAAACAGAGAAAAGAACTGGGTATAGGACCAGAAACGCCGGTAGCCGTCGGGCTTCTAACAAATGCCATTGATCAGTTTAGTGGTTCTAACGCACATGCCCAATTATCTGACGCAGTAGTTTTTCTAGCTCTGTGGTACGCAGCAGGAAAAATTAATTGATACTTTTGCTACACCGACGAAGTTAAGTAATACACACAGCATTCGCGCGAAAGCTCATGAAGTTGAACCGACTCCCTCAACTTCAAGCTGATATTTGCGGTTCAGAGCCTCGAAGAATGTTCATCCTTTGATGCTCGGCAGAATATATCTCAAGCAGTAACAGTGGGCCGACCGTATAACGAGAAGAGAGTAAGATAGGTAAATGGAAATAACAATAGTGTGACGTGAGAAAGGATAAAGCTCTCGGCATTCATCAATGTGGTGTGAAGAAGGACGAAGCTCTCGGCATTCATCAGTCGCTGAGAGGCATTCGACTTCATTAAGTATCGTAGGAGGTGACTGAATGCATGTCTGGCCTTTACAATGAATTGGGCCTATCGATGTATCGAACCAGTGCTGCTGTCCTTTTAGACAAGTCTAGTACCAATTTGCCGACCCCGGAAGGATGGAAGGCTTGGTGGGCCATGGGCGCGGGGATCGATTCCACGTGTGTGCTGCATGGCGCCTCGGACCACTGCGCCACAAGCGCCCTAACAGTGCAATGTACACGAATAAATCAACTATGTTCATAACTGGAATCATTTAGACTCTTAAGCAGTGGCCGAGTTGAAAAACACAATTATGACAAACCTTATACATGACGGTTGCGACACAACGAAAACATCTAAGTGCTGGGACCCATACGATTGACGCTGAAGACGCGGAATTAGACATGGTTCCCACCACTTTTCGTTCAAAAGCTTATGTCTGACGCGGTGATCGAAGATTTATTAGCAGATGACAAAGCTCACTATTCTTCAGTCAGTCGTTATAATAATTACAATCTAAGAATTATTCTTCTGCAAAAACGACTGAAAATTTTTAGGTTTTTGGATTCTTCGTCCGACCTATAAATACTGCGAAGTTGAAGAGTACAGGAAGACAACCACAACGTTGCTGAAATATTTGCAAAACTCTGGACCGCAGGCGTCTATGGTGGGGAACGAACGCGCTGTTGTCCTTTCCGAGGAGTAACGCGTTCACCATCACACCATGCGGGTCCTTCGTTTCGCCTTTTGTGGTTGTATTTCGCTTAGTAACCTGCCATGAAAATTATAGAAGGCAGAAAACAAAACATTAAACATTGTAATTTCAACTACAGCCATAGCTTAACTGGGTTCTATGCCGATTTGCGCTCCCCAGATCAACCCCGCTGACGAGTGATTGCTGTGGCAAAAAGATCGATAGAAATAGCTGAGAGACAGGCGAAACGAAGGACCCGCATGGTGTGGTGGTGAACGCGTTACTTCCCGGAAAGGACAATAGCGCGTTCGTTCTCCACCATAGACGCCTGCGGTCCAGAGTTTTGCAAATATCTCAGCAACGTTGTGGTTGTATTTCGCTTAGTAACCTGCCATGAAAATTATAGAAGGCAAAAAACAAAACGTTAAACATAATATAGGAAGACGTAAAAGAAGGTATGTAATTTCACCTTTTCCTGTTCGACATCCCATCATTCGGGCGTACATCAGTTTGAGGAGAGACTGACCTTCTAGAAGAGCACGCGCTTCAATCTAAACGCCTTCTATAATGGTTGCAATCATGGAAAACGTAAGGAGAGAGAATTTAAGAGTAAAATGTGGCAAAACAAGCTAAGCTCCGGTTCTCTAACTCCAGTTTTCTACCTCTAGCTCTTTAATTAAGAGAACTTAGAAGCATATTATTTACACTTCATCTGAACACACATAAGCACGTTATTTGCTTGTTTCCTTTGTTAGTTATGGTACCTCTGGTGGGAATTTTTCAACAAGATGGCACAATCCATCTTTTTGGTATCTGAAGTCTCCTTTAGTAACTCGCGGAGCGATTTCGTCGTCATCAAAGTAGAAGCCTAAACTGAAAAGTTCATTCAACTTTAAGTATTTTACTTCAATATGACTTGTTTAGGTTTCACGGCTCATTGATCCCAATTTTATAAAATTCGTAACAGGCAGTACAGAAAGTGGAAAAAACTTCAAACGAAGTCTGCTAAGGTCCTATTTAACGATTAACGACGACGCCTAATTTTGCTCTCTGCCGAATGGGACAACTCCTATTTCTCTGCCTTTACGGAGTTGCTGGTTTCTTTTTTGATAATAAACAGTAATTTTTCGAAGATTTCAAAAGCTGTTAGCATTACAGCATTGTAAAAGCGACTTTCTTCTATCGTTCTATGAGTGTAGATGATATACATGCCATTATTTCTTACATGTTACTACGGTGTACCATGCAAACACATTTTTGTAAGCATTTAAAAGGGTCTGGCAGTTCATGTTGAGTTTCTTCTTTATTTTTTATACCAGCTCATCATAAAGATGGAAAAAGCTCTCGGCGTTGACCAAACCCTGAGGGAGGCGCCATGCATTCGACTTCATTAAACATCGTTTAGAGGTGATTGAATGCATAGCTGGCCTTTACAATGATTCGCGGTGGCGTGCCTATGTATCGGACCAGTGCTACTATCCTCCCAGACAGGTCCGGTACCAATTTGCCGATCCCGGAGGAATGGATGGCTTGGTGGCTCATAGGCGCAGAGAACGATTCCACGCGTGTGTTGCAGGGCGCATCCGACCACTGCGCCACACGCTTCCTATGAGTCATCATAGCAATTGAAATGAGATAACAGTTAACAGTTAACCTAACCCGCCAATGAACTTGTCTGAAGAAAGGTTCTTCAAAATTGTTACGTGCAGAATACACCTCACCTCCCAACGGTTTACCGCCTCATCATGGCTGGGAGGTGTTCCTGGGTGTCGGACTGCGATGTACAGCGGAGGGATTCGTCCCCCGGGAGGGTCTACCAAGCTGAGAAGGAATCCCGCGTTTCCATCAGGAAGCCTAGCTAAGAGTAAAACAATACCAGGATCCACCACCATCTTGGTATCAAGGTCGCATAGCGGTAAATCTCCCTCTGATCCACAAGGGCTGCGACTGCCTGTGGTGGTGAAGACCTGGAGCAGACTTTGGCCAGGCTGTCCACGAGATTCCAGGAAACCACAATGGCTCAGCCAGCAAATCTCCGAAAAATGGTGATTATGCTGGGACCAGCACTACTAGTGAGGACGGACGGTTCAAGTATCAAGCAAGTAAGAATACACCTCATAAGGTCTCATCCTCCTTATTTTCGAATAGTAATCGAAGATATACATAGTGTGGCAAAAAAGAAGTTTTGAAACCCAATGAACTGAAAATACATACTACAGTGTATATACCGTCCGTTATGAGCTAGCTATAAAACAGTAGACAGAATGAAAATAAATGAATAACCAAGCAAATATGGAGAAACTAATGAATAACGGACAACAATAAAAATGCATGGCGTGACTAAAAAGAAAATCACCAATGTTTCCTCTATTTCCTGGCGGAGTTTTAGCTAAGAGCGCAGCAAATTCGTCCCATTGGCAACCAAGCTGTTTGCGCACTCGTTCCCTTGTTAGTGAACCGTTCTTGAAACTGAAAAAACACCAATAGGGTAAGAGAACGAGTTCTTCTCGTTCGCAGGCTTCCTTCAACAATTTGATATTTTTTTACACTATTTGTCTTCACATTTACTGTGGGGATCCTAACAGTTCTCGCATTCGATTCGCTTCCTCGCAACCGCCACTCACGAAGGTCTTCGAACATGTCCAGCACATAGGTTCGGCTGCTACTTAAGGATTGCCACTTCTTTATTGATGTCGTTAAGTGCTGATCCAGTCGATTCTCTCTAGAGTCCTGGGATAGCAAAGTTAGAGCGCTCCAATTTGAATTGCAAGACGTAAATTGTTCCCAAATAAAAGCGCTTTCAATTTCCCGAGCCCGAAAGGATAAAAGGCTTGGTGAGGCTGGGTAGGGGTCGAACTAGCTCCATGTTCGTGATGAACGGTATCATCACCAATGCGTTACCCGACCCATTATGCTAACAACACCTACTTGAATAGTTGGATGGCCCGTCCTCACTAGTTCTGCAGACTCCAGCAAAATCTCCATTTTAACGAGTTTTGCTAGTTTAAGTATTGCGGTTCCCTGGAGTCCCGAGGTCAGCCAAGCCAAAGTTTGCCCCACGTTGTCATCACCACAGGCAGCAGCGGCCTTCGTGGCTTAGTGGGAGATTTGTCATCAAGCGACTAGTTCGATACCAAAACGGTGGTGGATGCTGGCATTCGTTTACTCTTAGCTGGGATTCTTGATGGAAACGCCGTACACGTTCTCAGCCTGGGAGGCCCTGCCATGCGATGAATCCCTCCGCTGTACACCGCAGCCTGAAACCCAGGAACACCTTCTGCCCAGGATGAGCCGGTAAACTGTTGGGAGATCATCGTAGTCAATATTGCTGCCCTCACAATGGCTGACGTTTCAGCGGCTACCCCCCTAGGAGGTTCAAACTGAAACGCAATCTACTCAGCCAAACCCTTTTACAACCTCAGCAGATAAAGCTTTCTACATAAATTTGCGTTCACATAGTAAACGGCTTCTTCTAAATATCACATTTTGCCGAACGCCGATGTGTGCTGCACAAATCACTGCCGTTGACGTGTGATTGCTGGCACCGTTAGGATATAAACTGGCTGACAAAGAAGCAAAGCATCACGGGTTCGAGGCGCACCTGGCGTTCCAAGTTTTGTGAATATCTCAGCATTATTGCGGTTTTATTTCGCGTAATACTCCGCCGCGAAAAAATACTAGGCAACAAGTAAAAGTTGGACTCGTCAAACAGTTAGACTCACCGTTTTGTCCTTTACAAGTCCTCCATTTACTTTTGAAGACCAGCCGCACAGCGTCTTATATGGTTGAGGAATGTGTCTGGCTCAGTTTGAAAAAGCTGCCTGAGGTGTGGTATGAGGTCCTACGTGATCATAACGCACCCTTCCTTGTGGTTCACTCCCGGATTTTACCTAAAACGCTTCAAAATTTCTATGCACGGACGCTTTGGATTCCTGTGCCAAGGTAGTGATTTTTACTTCAAAATCTTCTTCGTTAGCCTAAATGTTTTGTGCTTCCTTAGTGGAGTATTTTGTTTGACTCTAAAGCTTCCAACTAAGTGCTCCTTTGTTCGGATGCAGACTAGTCCACTCATCTCGCCAACGTAGTAATACCCAAACGTATTGTAAGTGATTGGATACACCGTATCCGACTTCTACAATAACCGACTCTTACGACAAGGCAAATTAGGTAATTATGCGTTTTGCATAGACGCTTATACAAAATATTGCGAACTAGCCTACGTCTTAGAGTATTCGATGATATTTCAATTACGACTAATGATTGGTCTAAACCAGTCATTCTTAGGCAACTTTTTATGGTACACCGTTGGAAATGAACGGCATGGTAAACAGGAGCCTCACTTTCACTGAACATATAGTTTTGGAGCATGGTTTCTCCTCTAAACCTGTCCTAAGCAGCTACCTTTTCGTAGCCATCGGAAACAGCTGCTTTTCACACTGATTTCATGGACTCGTCTAGTTCTCCTGTGGACACAATGGCGGCTTCTCGATAAGCATTTCTCACAAGCGCCATTTTTGTGTTCGAAGAGTGAGAGGTAATATATCAGCATTTTTTTGTTACTTGTCTGTCGGTACCATTTGGTTATGTAGCCGTTGTTGGATAGGTCGATTTGAACGTTCAAAAAAAGAAGCCTGTCTTTCATAGGTTCCTCTCGGGTGAAATGAATCTACTCTGAGTAATGGTCCAGCAACTGAAAACACTTATACCTCCATTTGTGTTAAGCAGATCATAAAACAATCAGAGATACATCTACAGTAGAGTAGTGGCGGAAGGGTGGGTTTAGAAAAAGTTGTTAGAAAGTGATTGAAATACAACCGAACAAGAGGCCAGCTTGTTTATAATGGTTTGCAAGAGTTTGTGTATAACACAAAGTTGCATAATTTGCCGTTATTGTATAAGTTCCAATCGTATGAGTTCAAGTATAGCGTATGCGATTTCTTGTAGAACATATGGCTACGAATATATTAGTGAAAAGGGTAGATCAACTTGTGTCTGCATAAAAAGGCACCTAGTTGGGAAACTTAAAGACACTATATTGGCGCAGGAATACAACACATCACGGCGTCTCTCGATGTGGCTTATTTTCTCTCGAGTCTTGAAGCGGATAAGTTTCAATTCGATTTCCGATGAGTCCGCATAAATTTCAAAAATTCAAAAATGAACCACAGAGGCTTATGATCACGAGTGACCTCGCACCAAACTTTATGTTGAATTTTTAACTTGAGTCAGGCACATTGTAATTCTCTGTGCACCTCGTCTCATAAGTGCAGGATTTATAAAGAGCAAGTATTTAGGAGAAGCTGTTTACCATGAGAATGGAATTTGGATATTAAGTTCTTCCTGTTTAAGTCATTAAAGTGTTTGACTGAGTAGATTGCGTGTCAACTTGTCCTTTACAGGCCATGAAGAAGTGGAAACCAACGAAACGTTAGCTAGTGTAGATTAGTAAATAGCGTAATTGCAACATTGTGTTTGTCCTTCAGAAAGCAGTGAAAGCGCTGTGAACAGTGAACAGTGGATAGTGAACCATTAACAATCATAGGTTACGTTAGCTTCAGAATTTTCTCACTCGAATTGAAATTCTTGAGGAAGAAATCTTTTATGATCGCAAAAAATGCACGTGGGAGTGGATTCGAACGAAAATCGACAACAATTTGCCCAAGGATGGACAACGAAGAGTGCTGAAACACTCCGAAAGTACTGAGAAAAACGTTAAGATGAGTTTCATTGGTTCGACAGATGGAATCGACCAGTATAGATATCTGAATTCCGGGGAAAAAACTACATCAGAAATGTGTCGCGAGAAATGAACAAAATCAAGTAAACCTTGTTGCGTCTGTTACCAGTAACAATCGACAGGAGACGGATAATTTTGCTATAAAACACCATACGCTCCAGTATTTCATAGGTGCTGACTTAAAAATAATTCAGAAGCCGAACACTTAAAGTAGGAGACACCGCCTTGTCCGCTATATCTAGTAGGTTTCTCACCAGTAGACTGACGCCTACTCTTGCCGATTTAGTAGCCGTCAATATAGGCGCTTCTTCGATTCTGCCTTGACCCAAAAGCCTCTCACCTTCCTGTGGTTCGAAATTGGTGCAAAACCTGTCTGGGTTCAGTTTTTCTACTTTTTGATTCTCTCCAATCGACAGACGGTAGAACCTGCAACAGCTATCCTAGGATTCCTGGAAGAATCAACCGAACCAGCATTTGAGACATTTATAAAGAAAACAAAGATCAATAACACATTGTTTTCTTTACGGGCAAACACGAAGTTCTCAACAGCATTGTTCATTCGATACAATAGTGGATGATGTTTCGGCGGTTTCACCTTTTTCAGAGTCTAGAGTGCTCAAATTGAGACGCAATACACTCACACGACCGACTTTCTATTAACCTCGGCATTGATCAAGTAATTCTTGGTATTTTTGTTGAGCAAACGCGAGGTGTTATTATTCTTTATTCACGAATAAGCTGACGTTTCGGCGGATTTCGCCTTCCTCAGAGCCTGGAAAGGTCAAGTTGATAGCAATCTACTCGGCCAGACGCCTCCATAACCAAACAAAGAAACTAGAGTTAAACCAAGATTTCAATCACTTTGAACACAGCTCTGCACACTCACCGCTTTCTATGAGGTTTCCACTAAGTATGTCACGTAGAGACCAACAGCACAAAAATCACATGGAAGCATAATGCGCCCCTTCCATCAGAATAGCAGTCTTGTATACTGCCCTATATCACGCGTGATAATGAGGCATTCTTCCCTGCGGTTCATTTTCGGATTTCTGGAATTAATCCAGAATGCCTCGAGAGTTTTTCGCGCCTGTGTTCTTGATTCGCGTGCGAGGATCATGACACATACTTCAAAGTCCTCCCCGTTATGTCTCTGGATCCTACGCGTTCCTAGTGGGGTATCTGGTCTATGTTTGCCGGCTAGGTGTTCTTTTATGCGGACACAGAGGGGTCTACCCGTTTCGCCAGTGTATTCGTCACTGCACGTCTTACAGGAGATCAGATAAACTATACCCGAGCTCATGCAATCACCGTCTCTACCACTGGGGCAAATTATGCAAATTTTGAGTTGCACATAGACGGTCATATAGCCGGTTACGAACTAGCTGGCGCTTAAGATTACTCGGTGGTATTTCAACTACGTTTACTGAATTCTCTAAACCCACCCTTCTCAAGCAGCGTTTTATAGCTGTACTTATTATCATTTGAGATGAAGGGTAGGACAAACGGGACCCTTCTATCGCTAGAGTTGTTGTTTGGAAGCCTAGGATTTCCTCTAAATGGAGGAAATGGACAAATGTTTCGAATTGTTAAACGCACAGTCAGAGTATATCAAATGCACCCGAGAAAAGCCGAAAGAAAGATGGCTTCCATTGTTGAACGTACGAATTCACCTATCAGAAAATGGCTACCAAAGTGGTACCAAAAGCCAAGTAGTAAAAACATCCTGGTTCATTTCCTCTCCTCTCACCCCTCTCACACGAAAAGGGCGCTTATAAGAAACATGTTTCGAACAGCAACCAATGTGTGCACGGGAAGAGAGCAGAGAGAGGAGTCCCGGAACTTGGCACGCAAATAGCCATTTCTAATGGCTACGAAACTGTAGCTCAAGATAAGTGTAGGGGAAATCGTAGGCCTCCAAACGACAACTCTAGCGATAGAAGGGTCCCATTTATCCTACCCTTCATCTCAAATGATATAAGTACAGCTATAAAACGCTGCTTAAGAAGGGCGGGTTTAGAGAATTCAGTAAACGAAGTTGAAATACCACCGAGTAATCTTAAGCGCCAGCTAGTTCGTAACCGGCTATATGACCGTCTATGTGCAACTCAAAATTTGCATAATTTGCCCCAGTGGTAGAGACGGTGATTGCATGAGCTCGGGCATAGTTTATCTGATCTCCTGTAAGACGTGCGGTGACGAATACATTGGCGAAACGGGTAGACCCCTCTGTGTCCGCATAAAAGAACACCTAGCCGGCAAACATAGACCAGATACCCCACTAGGAACGCGTAGGATCCAGAGACATAACGGGGAGGACTTTGAAGTATGTGTCATGATCCTCGCACGCGAATCAAGAACACAGGCGCGAAAAACTCTGGAGGCATTCTGGATTAATTCCAGAAATCCGAAAATGAACCGCAGGGAAGAATGCCTCATTATCACGCGTGATATAGGGCAGTATACAAGGCTGCTATTCTGATGGAAGGGGCGCATTATGCTTCCATGTGATTTCTGTGCGGTTGGTCTCTACGTGACATACTTAGTAGAAACCTCATAGAAAGCGGTGAGTGTGCAGAGCTGTGTTCAAAGTGATTGAAATCTTGGTTTGGAGTTTCTTTGTTTGGTTGTGGAGGCGTCTGGCCGAGTAGATTGCTATCAACTTGACCTTTCCAGGCTCTGAGGAAGGCGAAATCCGCCGAAACGTCAGCTTATTCGTGAATGAAGAATAATAACACCTCGCGTTTGCTCAACAAAAATACGAAGCAATACACTCAATTTTAACTTATTATTTACTGCCTACTCTTTTTAATGGCAAGGTATATATTGTGAAATATAACTTCAATGATGCTGAGATATTCGCAAAACTCCGGACTGCAGGTGTTTGCAGTGGGAAACGAACAAGCGCTGTTGTCCTTACCGGGGAGCAGCGCACTTCACCACCACACCATCCGGGTCCTTTGTTTTGCCTGTCTCTCAGCTAGTTCTATCGATCTTTTGCCATCAGCAATCACCCGTTAGCGGGATTGATCTGGGGAGCCCAAATCGGAAACTAACCACCGAAACGTCAGCCAGTATTGTACTAAATGAACCTTGTTGTTAAAACCTCGTGTTTCTTTATTAAGAAGACAGAGTGTTATTGATCAATGTCGAGGTTAGAAGAAAGTCGGTCCTAAGATCGAAGACTCTAAACTCGCACCTGGAGCGCTGGAATTCGTGTTTTGTGCACGGAAAAGAATCGAATGCAAGAATGCTGGGAACCGCACAACTGGATCTTGGGTGGTGTGAAAACTATTGCTGTGAACAGCTCTTTCGGATGCAAATCTCAAAGCTTTTATAAAAATGAAACTTCTTTATTGATGTACTTTAGGGAAAACTTATTTGCTGTAACCGTTCCTATTTTGAATGACAAGGCTGAGTTCTAAAAATCTTGCTATTTTTATTATAAGGCTACGATTGCGCGGTTTAGCGTTAACTGATAAAAATCTTTCAACAACTAGAGTACTTGGTGAGTTTACAATTAACAGACTTCGTCTTATCACTCTAAGTTACTGAAAATCAAAATCATTCCGCTAAAGCCTAAACCAGCGGTGTCATAAACGGCTTAGTTCTTATTAGTGCGCAAGCACGTATCGTTTTTTATTAAAGAATACGGATTAAAATAAAATGAGTAGATGAAGTGTTGCTACTGCCCCACTGATATTCACTCGGCACTGACTACTTTTCGCTCAGAATTGAGTATGCAGTTATTAGGAGAAAAAACAATCAGAGTGGGGCTCACCATACAAGGACCATGAACTCGTCTCTTCTTCCAGAAAAGTGACTGAATACGTGGGCATCCACGCACGGCTTATACTCAGTGGTGGTGAAAAAAACAGTATCACTCGTACCAAGTGAGATAGCGACGTCTCCTTTTGAGAGATTCAAACCAGCCAGGGAGGCTATAATCACTTACGATGTCAAACTCACCATTTCTGTTGATCAATTTAAAAACATTTTTTGAAAATCTATGTGCTTCGAGATTATTCTTAATACTAACGATTGAAAATGCAGCCTTCGGGTTAATTGATTGCGTTGAAGCAAAAAATATTACTACATTTGCCTTCTGGTGGTGTAATGATGGTTCAAAAGGTGAGCTAATAGACAGTGTACATGGAAGCAGTGTCCGATTTCGATGCTCCATGGCCACCTTAGTTAACGAATAATACCTTAACGTCCCTCTGAATTGCAAGTGTACACAAAGGAAAAAGGAACTAACAACTTAAGGATAACTTCTACACTCCGTTCTTAAATACGGAACAAATAAGGTACTTAAGCTCACCTGGATTATCGCCGAGAAACGGAAGCACCATGCAGTCCTTACTGAACCCGTATCTCTGGATCATATAATTCGAGACGGTACCCTGAAAACAGGGTTGCAAAGAAAAACGTATTGTTTACAAGTAAACCGCGATTCACGGCGGTGCAAAAGAAAAGCGAAAGTTCTCGCACGAAGTTATTTGGCAACCTATTGAGAAAAACTTTGCAACCGTTGCAAGCATTTCCAAATTCCATGATTTGCACACACCATAGGGCGTGTGTGGCGAAGTGGTCGGAGGCGCCCTGCAACCCATACGTGGAGTAGAACCCCGCGTCCATAGCGTACCAAACGTTCCATGCTTCCGGGATCGGCAAATCGGTACTAGACCTGTCTGGTAGGATGGCACTGGCTCGATACATCAACAAGCCACCGCGAGTCATTGCAAAGACCATATATGCATTCAATCACCTCTAAACGATGCTTAATGAAGTCGAATGCACAGCGCATCACTCAGGGATTGATCAACGCCGAGAGCTTTATCCTTTTTTTTTTACACATGTCTTTGATTACTACGTGATTAGTAGCTCTGACTCGCGACAGTGACGAATGGAGCGAGCGAGCGGTAGCGGAACGATAGAAGATTCGAGTTCTTTTTTGGATGACTTCAAACTTAAACAAAACATCATCTTGCAACATTGAAGTTCTACATGGACATTGAACAATAAACCTATACCATACACACTATTCTTTTCTTGATTTTACCACTAGTAGATTTTGAAAATTCGGACAACTTCCTTCGCTAGCAAACATTGGTCAATTTAGAAACAGTCACCGTATCGTTACATTAGCTTCACATGATCGCGACAACCACGTTTTTCTAGAAACTGATTGTTAAAGGTTGCAAACCTCTAGGAAGTGTAATGATTGCATGTTTTAAACGTTCTTGCATTGACGAGCACAGATTCAATTAGTTAACGGTATTTTGGAACATAACAAGAGCAGTAGTAGTGGTAGCGATTAAGGTCCCGGTTCGACCTTGCCTTCGACCAATAAAATTCACTCGCGAATCAAAGACGCTCGTGAGTGGAGAATACGAGGAAATGAATCGAATAGAACTGTTGGTATCCGCAAGGTACATGTGAATTGACACCATGTACAAAGTAACAGTTTGGACTCTCTATTTATGATCCGACTGAGGCTTAAACAGCAGAATCCACTAAATAACTTTTCATAGATATGAATATGGTAAGCAATCTTCGATCACCCTCTCAGGGTGATCTCCTTCAGCTAGTGGCAAGGTAACCTCATGTGTCACCAGGCAGCGGATTTGAGGTTGATCGCCGATCAAAAGCGACCTCATATTTCCCTGAGACGCAAGCAGATCCAGAGGAAGGACTTTCCGTTTCCGCTGCTCCAATTTGGCACATACATTCTGTTCCTGCGGCGATGTATTAATGCATGCGTGCGTGGGTGTGTTCGTGGGTGTGTGTTTATGCGAATTTTTTTCTATAAGTGAATTCGGTCATAAATCTGCAGTCAAATTACATGGAAGTATATGGGAGGCCTGTTGAAGCCGCTTTTAACAAATAAGCATTTCGTCTACTCTGCGAGATTAGCAGGATACCTATGAGTATATCCAGCTCCCACGTTTAATACTCTGCAAGATGTAGGTGGGTATCAAATAATAAACACACTGAAATAAAAGTCTCCTTATCCTGACCCATGAAAGAGCGCCCGATTCGACAGCGTTAGGTAGGACGAATAAGGAGAGGCTTCTAAAATCTCAGGAAAATTCTAGGCTGTCTAAATTTCGAAGGATTAAGGTGATGATCTGTACCTAGAATGCAAAAATGGCATCTAAGTCCTCAACAGAGGAATTGAGTAGGTAGGAAAGAAAGATAAGCCATCGTGTCACCGAACTGATTGAGTCGAGAAGGGACCGTCTATGAAAGCAGAGAAGAACTGCCCCAGATCATGCGACATTAGAAGAGACAGGAGAATCGACATTCTCGTCAACACGAGGCATGAACATCTATTCATTCGAGCATTGATTCATTCGAAAAATGACATTCCGATACGGATGTTTACGGTTGGAGAGATGTAGATCGACACGTCGTTCAAGCTATGACGAATACGATGTTGAAGCGTAGACTTGGAGAAGCTTTAAAGAGAAGGCCATACATTCTTTAAGGTCATCATTGGAGATATTAGCGCTAAGATTTGACCTAGAACCACCTCTGAAAAACGTCACATCGTCACATTGGGAGTCATGGACCAGAATGGAACGAGTAGCGTGAGCGGCCACCCGGGAGCTATTGCTAATTTCACAATAAAAATAACACCATTCCAATACGATAGCAACACCGGTGCAGAAAGCGGAGTTAGGCAATGTGATACTCTCCCGCCAAAATTATTTACTGCCGCCTTCGAGAGCGTCATGAGAACATTGGATTGGGGCAACACGAAAGTGAAAATCGATGATCGGTAATTACACCATCTTCGCTCTGCCGTTGGTATAGTCCTTATAACACCAAAAATTAGTCAAGCGGAACGAATGGCGCCTGCTCGAGTCACTCGACGATTGGTGGGACGACGATGACGACGGGTGAGGTGACAAGTAATGGCAACAGTAGACCTGTTACATCATTGTTGTTCGTTTGACCGACAAATCTCCAAGAATCACTGTCACTACACGAAGAGCTGCACTTCTAACAACTTTAGTCGTACAAATGATGCTTCCATACGATACACATAGACAGGCGACTGCATGCCGTGAATACCTACGAACGCTCTAGCATTGCATCTGGCATATTCACGGAAATGCACGCTCAACCACCTGTCAAAATACGAACTAAATTCGACAAGTTTTTTAAGTTATAGCCGAATTCACAAACTAATCCAACCACCTCCGAAGATGACGATTGTAAAACACTGAAATGGATGAAACAATCGATGAAACCCACAATACTTGTGAAAGCAGGTCATTTAAATATTTAAGTAATATTGTAAACATGTGGACGCTACATGAATCAACCGCATGATTTTCGAGAAAAGAAAAACTTTCGTGCTACATTTAACTCAGAAAGGCATACATGGATTCTCAGAAGGCTTGTTATATTTATGCTCACAGTTAGGTTTCTATTTTCATTTAAAAAAAACGTTTATACTTGTAAAAGAACTTGTAGTGGCTTGAATAATAACCCATTTACTTTGCAGAAATGGCGAATGCGATCCTATTTCGCAATATTATCCTTTTTTAAATAAACCCTTAAAGCTAGTAATGTTTCAACATGGATGAATCCGATGTTTATTTAAACACTAAGATGTCTCCATATAATCACTTTTTATTTACTGCCTGTTCTTTTTTCATACCAAGGTATGACGTGAAATATAGCCACAATAATGCAGGATGTTTGCAAACCTCCGGGCCGCAGGTGTCTGCGGTGGGGATCGAAAACGTTGTTACCCCGTCCTGGAGCTAACACGTTCACCACTACACCATGCGAGTCTTTCGTTCCATCTTTTTCGCCTCTAGTTTTATACCTAATAACCCATTCTTATCCTATTTATTCGTAAACTTTACATGTTGCCGAATTCTTCTATCGCAAAGATGACACATATCGAATTGAAATAATTACCAGTGGTTTAGAAGGATTGGCAAGACTTCCAAGTTTTTCCCGCAAACGTGTTCGACGTTCATCTCCTCCATCAATGGCTGCCAGACAGTCCACGTTCCATTCCTGAGTCTAAAACGATGCATATATATCCTCAAAATAATAAAAGGCGTAGAAAAGTTTTTCTCATTGAGTAACGCAAAAGACGTTGTTTCGCAAAGCGCGAAGAAAATACATGGAAAAGGAGTGAACGATTCAAATCATCCAGACTTTGTTATACCAGACTAATCAGCTGTTCTAAACTTCCTCATTGGAATTCACGAAAAAGCGGTGGGTTTTTTCGAGAAGTCGTTGATCATGTAATTACCAAAGAGTTTTTCGTCTTTTTGTAAGTGTTATTGAAGCGTTTGGCCTAGTAGATTGTATATCAGTATAGCCTTCCAGGCTCTGAAGAAGGCGATACTGCCGAAACGTCAACTAGCGTTGTATTGTATTGTGTTTTTCTATGGACCTCGCGATTGCTGAACAAGAAAACGACACATTCACATCCAGACTTTTCCTAAGAATTCGCGAAAAACCCAAATTATCATATTGGAAAAGGAAAGTGTACTGATATATAAGAGACAAATGGGTGAAGCATGAAGTCATATTTCACTAGCTCCACTTTATTTTTTCAGATCACTAAATACCACTATTCGACAGATCACCAATGCTTCTTATGCTCAATTTGTTTTCCCCTATCCATAACCTACAGGAAGTTTTTGAATTTTACGAGTGGGCTCGTTCTCAGCTCTCGCCCAAGGATTTTTCGTTTTAACAATATTGTTGAGTACCGGTCGATTCTCCTAGAATACTGATATAGTCGTCTTAAACAGTCCCCACATCTTCACCACAAGAAGTCGCTAGCTTTAGCAGATTGGAAGAACGAGTTAATCGCAGAGAAGTTCGGTACCAATTTTTCGACACTTAAAGATTAAAGGGCTTGGTTTGCTCAGAGTGGGGTCGAATTAGAGCTTCGCACATAGTGCAAGCATCATTACCACCACAATATCTATGCTCCACTACCAACAGTCGAAAAAGAAAAGAACAAAGACTGCTCTCTGATATTTAGGAAGCACAACTCTCGGGAATAGTCGGTAACCAACTGTCAATGCCTTACTTACTTGATACTTGAACGGCCCGTGCTCATTGGTTGTGCGGACCCCAGCACAATCTCCACTTCTAGGAGATTTGATGGTTAAGCTATTGTGGTTCTTGGAATTCCGAGGTCATTTCGGCCAAAATCTGCTCCGGGTCTTCACCACCACTGGCGGTCGCAGCCTTTGCGGATCAGAGGGAAATTTGCCACCATGCGACTAATTTGATACCAGGACGGTGGTGAATCCTGGTATTGGTTTACTCTTAGCTAGGCTTCCTAATGGAAACGCCGGACTCCATCTCAGCTTGGCAAACCCTGCGGAAGGATGTATCGCCCTGCTGTACATCGTAGTCCGACACTCACCCCATACCTCCCAGCCATGATGAGGTGGTAAGCCGTTGGGAGGGCTCAGCAAAACTGTTCCATAAAAGTAGATTGTTTTATAAATTGCTTCTGTTTCCAATTTGATTACAAACCGTCACATTTATAAACTCTGTTGGTACACAACGCCGTCTTTATTTATTGGTATGTTTGTTAAATTTAAATGTTTTCTTGAACAATAAACTATAGCTTACGATATCGCAACATGTTCTGCATGCTTCTTGTAACTGGTGCATTGACCTTTTTTTTGCAAATAATGTCATTCACGCATTAGATACATGTGAACCAATCCTTACCCAACGCGGCCGATGATTGCTTTCTCATTGGCGAACGCTTTGGAGTATTCTCGAGTCTTAGTAGGAAATTCAATATAATTAAATGGAAGGAACGTATGTCAAGAAGAAATGAACTACAACTGGTCATGTCATTTGATGTGAATGAACAAGAGATAACGAACATATGCTAATGAAGCATTAGGTTTCTAAGGCTAAAAACTACCTTTACGCAATGTCTTACGCCACATTGATTAGAGTTATCACTTATAAAGTCAGGCGGTCACTGGTACGTGAATGGTAGGACAAAATAATCTACCAATACCACAAAACAGTACAACAAGCAGCGGTATATGCTTTCCTATTTTGGGACAAAAAAGCAAAGTCGGACGAGAAAGCATTACAGATCTAGCGATTTATCAAAACCTCGAAGCTTAATTTAAAAAAACGAATTTCAATTTTGAAAAGACCAGCTATAATTTAACCTGAGTATGAATAATCAGAGTTTTCTTCGATTTTTTGCTTAACACTGAAAATCTTGTTCGGTCGGCGATTCGCGGTGCTCTCGCCTTCTTCAATGTGGCGATTATTGGAATCGATGGTCTACGAGAATTCGTACCCGCGATGCGGGTCTTCGTTGCCATCGCATCGAGTGGAATCATCTCGAATGGAGCACCGCTCTAATGAAGTAACCTCACTCGGTAGTGCCATTATATAAAAGTCCAGCCACCCAGAAGTGACCTGACTTCACTCGGTTCCCCAGGATACAGGATGGTCACTGGTTGACTACCAACCAAAATTATTTCATTTGTGATGACACCGTGGTGACTCCGCTAAAGACGCAACCAATGACGCGTTAACCAAAATAAAGATTTGTGAAAACCTAAAGCCTATCTATAAAGTGAGAACTAATATTAGTGCCATATTGCATTGTATCCAAATCCTCTCTGCGTAGTAGAGCACTCATGAAACTGATCTCGAAGAAGCAAAACACTTTTTGAGAAGAAATTCATTCACATGAAAAGTAAATGAAACATAGTGAAACTTCGTCAAATGATCAGCATCACATTTCGGAAATGATAGCGATTCCCTACCTGAATATTCATAAGGTTCATACCGCTACCGTCCGTGTATTCAATGGGTGCGATCTCTCCTCTGAATAAAGAGCAGGTGAATGACGATATTACCGAAATCCGCTAAAATATATTCTTGAAATAAAGTTTAATAAAATAAAGGCGAGAATCATGTGAAGGAATGCGCAAGTTCGAAAGTCACCTCACAGTTATTCCATGCTTGCCTATTGGTTTCTAGAACCTTCGTGATCTGTGGGCCGCTGAATCTGCGATGAGCTCGTGATCCTGTGATACGAACCATGTTCTGGAAGTTAATGACGATTCCGGAAGCTAATTTTCCCATGAGGTTCACTGATTTTCTACCATCTAACAAATTAAAGTTAGGTGATTCAATTTTTTCGACGGACTAAACAGCAAAGAATGTTCTGACAACAATAAAATCATCAGAAACATAAGAAGCACAGGAGGAACGGTACAGTTTGCAAGTAAAACAGAACTTTTCACAAAAGCCCATTGAAAAATGTGGTTGGTACTCGAGTTACATGTCTATTGGCTCTGAATGTGGATATGACCTCTATGATCAGCCACGAAGACAACCCAATAGGGAAAACAGTGCCATACATTGCCTTATCCAACAGATTTCTTTATCGGAGGGGTTTACTTTCCGAGTAGGTTTCTTCCAGACAGAAAGAAATCATTGTCATTTATAATTTTCTTTCTCACTGCTTTACTACTAGCTAAACATTCCGACGGAAACGTCGAACTATTGGTTGAGGTGCCTGAGAGGTAAAGTCCCGCTACGCATCATAGTTCGTCTTAAAGGAGCAAAAACGCTGAAGCAGTAAACACCTCGCGTTAAATAGTAATGATGTGTTCATTAAATACTAAGTCTAAAGTAAACCTCTTCCCCGTTTAAAGCTTTTTCCATCGCGGAACATTGTTTTTCCGTACTTGAATCCATCCATGTAGGACTGAGAGGCAAGGCGAAAGATGACTGCAATAAACAATTTTTCTTTCTCATTCTGTTTCTTGTTTTCTTTTAACCTATTCATAACAGCGAGTGTTTTCATAAGGCGTGATAGAAGAGCTTTTTTTTCGTTTTTCTTTTTGGTAGCCATTACGTGACAAACCGGTTCCGATCGGTTAAGTATACTGTCATGAATACCGACGCAAATTCTCATACGTGGGAGACAATATGGATTACCAAACACAACTGATTTGATGTCTAAGAGAAAAAGAAGAAAAAAAGCAACAAAGCAAACTGGTTGCATAGATATATTTAACAGCTAAACCCTCTACCTTCATACTCCACTGTTTTTCATTTTTGATGTAAAAATTTGATCCTTCCGACAATCTTAAGTGCAACTGTTGATGGAGTTTAGTGTGATGGATAAATGTCATTTGTGTTACCTGTCCTTCGTTCACTGTCTACTGAATCGCGCTAGTGCTATCGAATCCTCCACTTATTTCTGCCCTGTACAAAAGCTGTTGAGCGGATTCTGCTCACTCAAAAGACAACCAACCTCCTTGTGATCTTCCTACCTGTCTGACATACCGTTATACTCAGTTCATAATGTATCCTACAGACCTAGCATACTCCACCTTATTTACGACATCTTATTAAAATGATAGCACCTTTGATATACGGTCGCCGATATGGGTCGCAACTTAAAATTTTCTTTCCCATTTTGGACATCTATAGCATAGTCCACTCGATCGTGTTTTAAATGAAGCGAGTGGTCTTTCATCTTCCTTACGTCTAAGTTTATGGTGCGCACACGTTAAAGTAGGAAGAACCAGAAAGTCGAAGTGAGCTCGGAGATCGGTGTTTTTGTCCACATCGCTATATCCTTGGTGTTTTTTAAAGTCTCTCAAGCACCCAATTGATTTCCTAGTCCAGATATACGATGTCAAAGCAATCGAGCATACCCATTCCGTTTGCGTAATCAGAAGATCACAACTATTCAGTCGGATACCAGTTTTGCTACAGTCGTAATCAAAATCGACAACAGTTGTTCAATTTAAATAATTCGTGATGTTATAAGAACTATATGATCAACAAAGCATGGATAGAATAGCTGCTAGTCACTAACTTTTACTGTCATTCATATTCCAGTTATCCTGTGATTCTTGAGAGTGTCTGGAGATTATTTTGGTAAAATGGCATTACCTTGTCGAATTCCCTTCATTAATTAGCGATGACGTCCTTGTACTATGAAATGGTGGAATTCTGTCTGTGAAGTTTTCGCACACCTCACGGAGATTTTTGTGCCCTGAGCATAGGTACACTGGCCTTCTATAGCTTTCACCACCACTTTCTTCTCAACTCCGTCAAAGGTACTTTCCTAGTCAATAGAAAGTTGGATGCAGTCGTCGAATATAACGGAGCACACTTCGTAAATGGCCTTTTGCGTTGGCTTTATAATAATTGCAATATCTCTTCTGTTTGATGGTGCTTAAAGTGAAGCACCCTGTTCTAGAAATTGGCGAAGCCCCGACAGGCACTGCAGATGCTCTTTCTAATCTCCGCAGCTTCATTCAGTACCGACCTCCAACATATTCTTTGATCACATCTCTGCAGTGCTTCACAAGTTTAGACGCGAACTTGTGATTAACATCTCGTGCGATTCTACGTTGGTAATTCAAAACGAATTTGAACTTCCACAAGTGTGTGTGTTAGTGACTTTAAAATCCGACTTTTCAGCAGTATCATTAAGATATTATACAAGTCGATCTTATTCCTTATTAATGTTGTCGACAATGCTGTGTCTCTAAAAGGTAACCAAAAAATTGCCAATCGCAATTTATGACGGTCACAAGATGTTGTAGATTGAACTGTGAGGCATGCCCTCCTATCTTACTTGGAAACTTGGACGGCCTGTCTTCACTGGTTCTACGGACTTCCGTATAATTTCCACTTCGGAGATTTGCCGGTTTTGCTAATATAGTTCCCTGGAGTCTCTCCGAGGTCAGCCTAGCCAAAGTCCGCACCAGGTCGTCACCACCACAGGGCAGTCACCGCCTTTGTGGATCAGAGGGAGCTTTAGCACCATGCGACCAGTTCGATACCACGACGGTGGTGGACCCTCGTATTGTTTACTCTTAGATGGGCTTCCTGATGGAAACCCTGGACTCAGCCTGGGAAGCTCTGCTGAGGGGATCAATCCTCCACTGTATATCACAGCCCGACACCCAAGAACACCTCCCAGCCACGATGAGGTAGTAAACAATTGGGAGAACTCTCCTATGGTTGGTAGAAGCGATTATAGATGTGGTCTAAAATAGGTCTTCGCTATTCTGTGCCATTAAAAAATTCAAACAACGAAAGCAATGAGCCATGAGAGTGAGAAAACCCATAACTCTTAAAACTCTCTAGGAATTTCTCAAAGAAATGTCCTTTTCCCGCATCAAGTCGGTGTGGCCCATAAATTATTCTTGCCCAGTTTCGCACCATAACTGAAAAATCTACTCTTACTTACTTGATACTGAATGGCCCGTCCTCACTGGTTGTGCGGGCCTCAACATAATCTCCACTTTTTCGGAGATTTGCTGGTTAAGCTATTGTGGTTCCCTAGAATCCCGAGGTCAGCCTGGCCAAGATCTGCTCCAGGTCCTCACCACAACAGGCAGTCGCAATTCTTGTGGATCAGAGGGAGATTTGCCACCACGCGACTAATTTGATACCAGGACGGTGGTGGATTCTGGTATTGGTTCACTCTTAGCTAGGGAGATCTTGCCAATGGGATGAATCCCCGCTGTGCATAGCAGTCCGACACCCAGGAACACCTCCAGCCACGATAAGGCGGTAAACCGTTGAGAGGGAACAATTTACTCATCAAGAAAAAATAAATATCTAATATCTGAAAATATTTCCCGCAACGACACGGACCTCTCCCAGACCGTCGAAAAGTTTGAAAACGGGAGAAAGAGTGGCGAGTTTTCTCTCGGCTCCGTTGGCCCAATACACAGTCCCATGTTGCTAGAAATAGCAGAAATACAGAGTTAGAGTAACATAGTGAAGTGATAACCCTGCCATACCTGCGCGCATCCACCGATATAACGGATATTCTTTGTTGGAACACGTGAATGAATCTGTTCCAGCAATAGATCCATGGCTTTCACCCACATCAACACTGGTGACACAGTAGAGCCGTCGCTCATTTTCAGTACGCCATCAGTGGTTCTGAAAAGCAAAGAAATGAAAGAATAACTGGAAGTAGATTTAACACTACCGTACATCGAAAACGTTCCTCCACAACATACTTCATAATGAGGGTAACGCATACAAGTTGTCGTTATACCTACGAGGTAAAAGTACAAGAAGATTAAATATCCCCTCTTTGTCCACCCATCCGTTAAGCTCACGCCATCGCAACAGTATACGGCCACATAACGCGGCCAAATATGTGGAAGAGATGTCAAAGGAAGAAAAACTGCTCAGTTTAAGTGATCCGAGGACAGATAGATCAATATTTATTGAAACTAGCATTACATTGTCCGAAAAGCAAATATGGTAGTGTTATCACCTATCAGCTTTCGTTTCGACTTATTCATTTTTTAAACAAAAGCTTGAAAGAATGGCAAAATTTCCTTAATATGTCTTTGTGAATCACTTTACCATCCAAACATTGATTCAGCTTCATACACTCAACAATGTTCAGTAGATTCAATAGTGCCAAATAGTAAACCACCACTAACGCAGTACTGGTGGTGCTTTGTTCAAGCCAGGTCCCATTCAAACCAAGAACTTCACAAAACAAATGGGAAATAGAATTTCGAATCGGTAACCAACAACGTGAGGAACTCATTCAGATTAAACCAGTGGCCTGATAAATGGATATGATAACTGCCAAATAAATCGAAGTAAAAGTAGTAGTAGATGAGTTTCTCTCTTCTTCCCTTTTTCTTTTGAATGTATTTATGTATCCAGATTCTTATATTCCGAAAAAATCGGAGAGAGATGAGAGCATCTTTACAAACCTTTCCACATTCTACTAATACACGCATGGTGTGGTGGTGAACCCATCAGCCTCCGGAAAGGTTGATAGCGCGTTCGTTTCTCAGCGCAGATACCTGCGGTCCGAAGTTTTGCAAATATCTCAACATCATTGTAGTTTTATTCTACTAATAATTTATTGCATTCTTTATGACCCAATAGGAGGTCGCAAATACAACGTCTACTTTACAATAACCGATGTTTTGTCGTATTTTGTTATTTTTCAAGACTTGGGGCTGGTTACATTAACATGACTTGTGGGTTAAGCATTTTCATAACCTCAATGAATGCATGACCTTGTCCAAAATTTGGATTGATTCCTTGACCTGGTATGGACTGACCAGTCATTCTTTGTGAACACTGGTTTCAGTTCATAGCAAAACATCTGAAGCAATAGGTGCTTCGAAAACTTATGGTCGAAGTTTACATCCACAATTTTCTCTTTGATGTTGACAAGATATTTCACCTGTAAAGCTATATATTAGACCTTATCTCAGACTATGTGGAATGCGAAATTCGTCGACATGTGACCTGGCGTAAAAGAAGTTGGAATGACAACCTCGTCTCAGTACATTCAAGATCAAATCTAATCGATCGATACCAAAGACGGGAAGTCAGTCGAAAGGAGTACGGAGTAAAAAGGTTGCTAATTTACATGTTAAATTCTTCTCTTAACTACCAAGACCGATTTTCTATTAACCTCTGCACTGATCAAATAATTCAGTTTTCTTGATGAGCAAATACGAGGTTTTTATTTTACCCTTTATTTACAAAAAAGTCGAAGTTTCGGCGGATATGTCTTCCTCCAAGCTTGGAAAGGTTAAGTTAACTGCAATCTAACCAACTAAACACCTCCAAAGGCAAAACAGAAATAACATAAAACCAAAACTTCTATTGCACTGAGAACAAGCTAGCCTATTCGTACAATCACCGTCCCGTATGAGTCCTCTTATGAGTATTTCCGTGGATATCCACCATACAGAAATTATATGGATGGTTAATGTGTCTCTTTGACATTGAAATATTAGTCTTAAATATTGCATGAGTCTATGTGTGATAGCAAGTGATTCCCCCTGTAGTTCACTTTTGGAGTCTTGAAATTTATCCAAAATGTTAACAAAAAACTACCTGAGAGAAATGTGAAACGACGGACCCGCGTGATTTGGTGGTGAACATGTTAGCCCCCGGAGAGGCTAACAGCGTGTTCGCTCACCGTAGACACCTGCGGTCCGGAGTTTTGCAAGTATCATAGCATCATTGTGGTTATCCAGAATGCTTTGAGAGCTTTGCGAGATGAAGTTTTCGACTCCTGTGCAAGCATTGCAACTCCTACTTGGAAATCTTCCTTGTTTTGCCCCGTGCCCTATGCGCGACTAGCGTAGCATTTGGTTTAACTTTACGTATATCAACTAGATGTGATTTCATACGGACGCAGAGTGGTTTATTCCTCTTGCCACTGTATTAGTCCCCGTATGTTTTACGAGAGATCAAATAAACCGCACCCAAACTCATTCAATCACGATCTCTATCGTTAGGGCATACTATAGAATTACGCGTTGTACAAAGACGGTCATACACCCTGTTACGAACTAGCTGGCATCTGAGACTGTCCGATGGTACCTCACTCACTGCTACCGAATTCTTTACACCGCCATTTTTAAGCAACGTTTTATAATTGCATTTATTTCGCTGGAATTACATGACAGAATGGGAAAATAAGGAAATCCTCTATCTTCCTTTTAAATATTCTACACAGTCCCACAAGAATGGACGCCATTTGCTCGTTTGAAATGTTCTGTTGGTGCAAGGGTGAGTAAGGAAAAACAGCACACGTCCCTTCCATCCCTTCAAAGATAAGCCAGCATGAGGTTGATTTAAAAACATTATTCGGCTAACGTTTCCTCACGGCCGTCTTCTTCAAAGTAGGATTGATCCGAATCTATTATCCATAGCTGTTCCTTCTTCCGATTTGGGTCTTCCTGATCGCTTGAAATCGACTCCAGTGAAGCACCGCTCGAATGAGTTAACCATATTCGACAGCGCTGCTTCATACAGGACGGTTATTGGTGGTTATTGTGTGTCGGTAATCGCTTGTTTTTCTCCGAAAAATTCATAGTGCGGTCCTGGGTCAGCTGGTATCATGCCGAGTTTAAAGGAAAGTAAGTTTTTGAAATATTGTTACGCTCTGTGCTAGCTGATAATAATACCGACTGCTGCGGTATCGACCGCCGGAGAAGAATAAACGATTATGAACGGACAACCATCAACAACCGTTCAGTATATAAGAGCGCTTCTGAGTGAGGTAACTTTAATTGGGCGGTGTCCACTGAATTTGACCAGATGCGATCTGGAAGACTAACATCGGAAGAAAGAACGACTGTGGACAATCGAGTCGGATCAATCTGGCTCTGAAGAAGGCGATGGGAATGAAACTTTAGCCAAATAAAGTTTTTTAGATCAACCTCGTGTTAGTTTATTAATAACAGAATACATATTGATCAGTCATCCCGACGTTTAAGAAAGGTTGGTTTTTATAATATTGCATGTGGTTAGTTTAGCAGTCTCGCTGACTGATCCTTTTGAAATATTAAAAAACACTGTTTTTCACTGGTGTATTTGGTAACATCTTCATGTATTTCGCCACGTATCCTTCAATGGTGTAAAACCTTATTGTGACAGGGAGGTATTAATAGATGAGTCCTACATAACAAGAAATTCGCCTAGCAACTCGATTACTCAAGCTATGAACAAGGTTACAATGGTCGTGAGAAAGTCCTGGAAAAGCCCTCAAGGCTCCAAAGGAATACTGTTTTAAATCCGCGAAATATCAATCATGAAAATTGTGCTGGAAAATGTACTTATTGCGGCGCAGGCCATTTATGAATTCAGACAAAGGATTTCATGTGTGTGAGGCGACGCTCTTGATGATAACATAGTGAATCTCGTGGTTCTATGGTTCTTCCGACGACTTCGTTGTACCATCACAGGTGAGTGGCCCAGAAAATATGACGCTTTTTCTCTTAGGCCAACTATATTCCAGTACGAACCTCAGTCAAACCTCAATAGGTTTCTTTTGGTCGGCCGTGGCATTAAAGTTTCCGCAGAGAAAGTTGTTGAATATATAATAAGAATGCCTCAGAAGATCTCCAGTACTACGTGGAGTGCTTGGATTTCGTTCATGTGGTAGTTGGAAGCGCTGGTGCAGGAGACAACGACTATCAAAGCAAGAGGTTATCGTTATTTATTTGTTATGAAAGGCTTGAAGATCGGGTTGCTAAGAAGTGATATGAAACTAAGGCTCTGGGCGAACTCCTATTTATAGAAAGTCAAACGTCATTCTTCAACTTATCATTCACGGAGTTTTTTCCTTGCGGTTATGTTCCTCCTACTACACACTTCTGACAGGTACGGTAAAATATATATCATTATTCATATCAGCTCACATGAACTGGGCTAACAACTAAGGTGTGACTGCCAAGTAGTCACCAAGTTACTCAATCGACTCTGCCCATGGTCCGGGGTATCTGTACGGTAGAAGTTATCTCAGCCTGTAATTTCACAAACACTAACCGATTTTTCATGTTTTTCAATGATTGTGAGGGTACACCCATGGATTGATGCAGCTGGGAAATAGTATTTACGTTCGAAGGCTCCTGTGGACGATTCTTCTATACAGCTAGGTCCACCTGTTCGGTGTAATGTTGTGAGAACAAGTTCTTTGCACATTAGCAGATTTTACAATTTCTTAACAACTGCTTAAAAATTTTGTATACTAAGACTATTTCGCCCACTAAAATAATAAAATTTGCACTAATTCGAATATTTGATCGTACTTGAATTCTGGTAAATCCATTGAGAACTTGACGGAATGACATAGAACGACATCGTTTGCTCCGTTCAGCACAATACCTTTTAGCTGAAACATTTTGCATGAAAAAAGGTAGAAATAAAGCCTTATTCTAGAAGCTAGATCGATATGATAGAATTTCACAGCCCTTTAGCCTTCTGACTAAAAGCTTTTTGAAAACTGTTCACATAAAACAAGAGAAAAAGGGTAAAAGACCACATTTAAAACCTGTTCAAACAGTTATCACATCGGCATTAAAAGTTTGAGCTATTTCTCTACGCTCTTCTATTATGGTAATGTCTTTAATTTATGATAGGAAAAGACAATAATTTAGATTGATGAGACCTACTGATACCTGCTGAGTGCTGAGGTCGACACCCAGAAACAGATCGTCCATGTCCACGGTTATCTCTGAAAACATTTGATATCTACAAAAGCTCT